GATTAGAAATGAAAGGAATATTAGGCATATAAATCTTGAATGCCTATTTTATTGGTAAGTGTAATTAGTAATTTGTTTTGAAACTATTTTCAAAACCCTTAAATGACTTAAGCCAGCTGCAACAAACAGTATGTAAGAACCACTTTTGCTAAAAGCTCATTTTATTTGCATTGAAAATAAAATAAGTTTAAGAAATGCAGAATTGAGTTATAACTATTTTCTTTATTCTTAGAACTATCTGTAATCTCTACCTACACGCATACCAAAAATGATCTAAACTATGATTCTGAAAAGTGTCAGGCCTAGGATATGAATTAACTTCATTGTTCTTATTTTGTCTTATTAAATTTATTCAGTGAGGATATTATTATGTGATCTTGTCTAAAAGTACCCAAAATATATATATATATATATATATATTTTAAGATTTATTTATTTGTGCATACAGAACTGGGGTACAGGCCAGAGGCTCAGGGGCGGTGAGAGGCTTCACCAGAGACAGAGTGGGGGGCAGAACAGGCAGATCGACGAAGTACACTGCTGAGGGGAGCAGTGGGCGGGTCAGGAGAGGTCTGCCACGCCATATGGTCTCCTCCGGGGCAGGCGGGAATCGAACTCATGCGGAAGCGGCTTTAGATTCTCAGTGCTGTGCTTTAACCCGCTGCGCCACCAGGGAGGGCCCCAAAATATATTTTTATAATATTCTAGAACATATTGTTGTACAGAAATTTAAGACTAGTCATTAAAGTAAGTTATCCTTTGGAGTAGAACAAAATTTAGCTTGATTTGAAGTTCATGACGATTTAAAAATCAAAAATACACACACACAAATAAAACCTTAAATTTTGACTTCTGGCTTTTATTTGGCTCCAATAAAAAGAAAACAAAGGGAAATGCACTGTTGTGTAATTCTGAACATTCATTCACATAGCAACTGTAAAATCTTTATACAAAAAAGAAACTTACACTAACCATTGTTATACAACTTAAAATTCTAAACTAGTATGTCATCTGTTTTGAATCTGAAAAGTAGTGCCTCATTTTGATGTAATTATTACATTTTAATGTAATAAAATAACTTTTGAACAGCCGGTAGTAAAAAAGCTCTAATTTCTAATTTAGAATACCTTTAGATTCAAAAATTCTTAAAGAACAAAATATCAAAATTCCCAAGAATCTGAAGCCCAAAAAGAACAAACCAATCTAAAAAAAAAAAAAATTTCAACAGAAATCAACCTGAGCATTCATAAACTTTAACTGATTTTGTTAATTTCCAACTTTGGTTTTAACTTTCTTACAAAGGAAAACCTAGTAAGTGATGTTTTTAAGAAATGGGTTTGTTCAAATTTGTCTATTGCTGTAATCGTTATATACTAACAATTTACGTAAGTACATGATTTACTTGACTCTACGTATCATTAATACACAACTCAAAAGTTCAGAAGTCTAAAAAATATTTCATTATGAAGTAATGCTTAAATTATATAACTTAAACATGTTACATTCTGCCACACATATTGCTTAAAACATCTAATAGCATTAGAGCACTGAGTGAAGATAGATGCTATATATTCACACTTTCTAAAATTGGGCTTATTTTAACAAGGAAATTTGAGATTAGAGATTTTGTGTTAACCAAGTTCATGGTACTTGTTTTATAATCTTGCATGTTAAAAGTAAACAAACTAAGTCAATATTTATACTAAACAAGAATTATGCCTGTTTTTATTTTCTTCAAGATTTATTTATTTATGCATACAAGAACTGGGATAAAGGCCAGAGGAGCAGTGGTTGAGAAATTCACCAGAAACAGAGTGGGGAGCAGAACAGGCAGATCCACTGAAATGCACTGCTCTGGGGAACAGTGGAAAGGTGTGGAAAGGTCAAGAAAGGTCTGTTGCGCCTTGTGTGGGTCAGCTCCCTGGCCAGGGACTAAACTCTGGTTTTTAGGTGATAGCTTGGGTCTTAACTCCAAGGCTACCAAAGGTTACCTACCGAAGGCCTGACTGAAACATTTTGTGTTCAGCTTTTTAAAAGATTTACATACTATATAAGACAAAAATGCTATGTCTAGACAGAAATGTCATGTCTAGACAAAAATGCGAAGTCTACAGCTTCAAAGTAATTTAGTAAAAGATAAATAGAAAAACAACAGGAAGAGAATGTGATAATCACCCTAAGGGTATACATGTTAAGAGAAAAGCAGTTAGCCCATTTATATATATTGCTTTTTAAAAAGTTGTTTCTGAGGGGGAAAAAAACTTTATGAAGGAAATACAATTTGTCTCTTTAATAATGGAAAGGAGATTTTTCAATAGGTGAAAAAATTAGGGCGAGAAGTGCATAAACAAAGCTTGAAGCAGGGCTGAGTTTGGCACTAGATTTATAGGCCAAAAATTGATCAAGTCAAACTTACACACATCCCCTATCCCCTCAAAACAAAAATACTTGAACGGCCAAACTATGTAAATATGAAATTAAAATGCGGAGGGAATGGCTGAAGTTTTCAGAAAATACACTTTGAAAGTATCAGTTTAGGGGCCCTAAACTGGTGGCGCTATGGGTTAGGACCACTGCTTCAGTGCAAATTTAGTACCCATCCCTGGAGGTGACCCACATGGCACGACAGACCTCTCCTGACCTGCCCACTACTCCCCTCAGCTGTGTACTTTGTCAATCTGCCTGTTCTGTTCCCCCTCCGTCTCTGGTGAAGCCTCTCTCCACCCTTGCACCTCTGGCATGTACCCCAGTTCTGTATAAATGAATAAATAGATCTTTAAAAAAGTGTCAGTTTATGAGTTAATAAATTTAATGGACTAGACCTAGCATGAAGACCGATAACAGTTAAGGGACTAAAACAATGATTCTCAACCACTTTCTCAACCTTTCAGGAGTTGGTATAATCAAAACTATTTTCATAATTTTTACCTTTTTAAATTTGCCTCTCGTTTCCAGAAACCATATGACATGTGATATGCAGAAGACTGTTCCTAATATTATTGCCAATGCTTGTTATCTTGATAATAGCCATATACTAACAGGAGCTGATGATACCTCAGTAGCTTTGATTACATTTCTTCAAGGTTGGTGATGTTGAGCATCTTCTCATGTGCCTACTGGTCCACTTAGTTCCTCTACCTAAAAACTTAACAGTTGTATGAGATGTGCATATTTTGGATATATTCCCTAGATGATTTGCAAATAATTTTTCCATTTAGTAGGTTTCCTTTTTCATTCTTTGATGTCATGCTTTGCTGTGTAGCCTGTTTGTTTTACATAGTCCCATTTGTTGTTGCTTTAATTCTTCTTTCCTTGCCTCTGCATTTGGAGTCAAATAGTACTAAGAAAAATACTACTAAGTGTAATGTCAAGAAAGTTACTACCTATATTTTTAGGAATTTTATCGCTTCAGGTCTTATTTTTTAATCTCCGATCCATTTAGGGTCAGTTTTTAAGAAAGTTTTATTTTGCATATGGTAGTTCTCTATTTTCATTTATTGGGGAAATTGTATTTTCTCATCTCCTTTGTCTTAAATTAACTGGTCATAGATTTATTTCTTTTTGTTCCATGTCAGTTTTTATGTCAACAACATAGCTTTGATTACTATAGTCTTGTAATTCTAGTTTGAAATCAGTAAGCTTTTCAATTTTGTTCAGTTTCAAGATTGCTTTTTCTGCTTGGAATTTTGAGTGGCTCTCTACAAATTTTAGGATTTACTATCTGTGACAAAATGCTATTGAAATTTTGATAGGAAATGCATTGAGATTGTAAAGATTTATTTGTGCATACAGAACTGGGGCTGTATTTAGGGGCAGAGGCTCAGGGGAGGCAAGGCTTCACCAGAAGCCAGAGTGGGGGGCAGAACAGGCAGATCAAAGAAGTACACTGCTGAGGGGAGCAGCAGGCGGGTCAGGAGAGGTCTGCTGTGCCATGTGGTCACCTCTGAGGCAGGTGGGAATCGAACTCATGCTGCAGTGGCTTTAGTTTCTTATTGCTGTTCTTTAACCCACTGCGCCACCAGGGAGGGCCAGTGTGGACATTTTAACAGTATCCTTCCAATCAGTGAACCTGGACAACTTTTTCACTTATGCATCTTCTACTTTTTTTCACTGTACAGGTCTCTTCAACTTCCCTGGCTAAGGTTATCACTGGGTATTTTGCTAATTTTGATACATTTGTAAATGGGCTATCTTAATTTCTGCTAGTTCATTGTTGGTGTCAAGGAGATGGCAGTACTGTAAGGCCCTGAATGAGGGAAAGATTACTTATAGAGTCCACATTGAGCACTAAGAAGCCTAGAGGGGCTGCACTGGTGGTAATGTTTGTCCCTAGTCAAAGGCAGTCTGGCATATACTAACATGCCCCACCTTTCTACTCAATGTTAAGTACAAGCCCAGGAAGCAGCTATTCCGTGGAGGGACCAAGAGCTATTGCCTGGGGGCTCCATTGTTCCTGCTGCTCAAGGCTTATTATCTCTTATCTATGTGCAGCAGATATGGTTTCCCAGTATATTACTCAAACTAGTACTTTGGCCCTTTGTTGAGAAGCCCTGCACCTAGCTGACAAGCAGGAACTAAGGGCATCAAGACAAGAACAAGGGAGGCTGAGGCCTCCACCCTACTGTACAGAAATACATATATTGTATAGTGACTTTGTAACTGTACATAACTCAATTATCAGTTTTTGACAGATTTAACAGATTTTGAATTTGTTGCTATTTTATAGAGTAGGACCATGCTATCAGCTAGTGGTAATAGTCTTAATTCTTCCTTTCCAATTTGGATGCCTTTTATTTTTTCAATGCATCACTACAACAAAAGAAAGTACAACTGCTGACTGATATTTAGCCCCACTTACCTCCTTCACAACCAATCATCACAAGCTCCTATGGTACTTCCCAGGTGGCATGGAGTATTATCACATATCACCACTTTACAGCATCTTTAAATACTAAAGATGCTAATATAGTAGACTCAAAATTTCAAATGAAATCAATGAATCAATTAGAAAGCAACTTTATTGTGTATCTCAATAAAACAAAATTCATTTCTTTGCAAATTACTCACACATATAAAACTCCACAAGTGCATTTTAGGAAAACTTGTTTTTAAGCCAAGTATGGACAGGGCATCAAGTTAAATTCTGGCTCAAGTAATATATAAATTAGGAATTCTTCCAATAGTAATGTCAATATAACACAAGATATCAATAACACATTAGCAGTAAAATAGATCAAGATTTTTTGAACTGCACGTTTGCTGCTTTTGGGTGAAACTAAATCTGAAATACTGAGTTCCAGTCATATTTTCATCAGCAGGATAAGTACTATACTCGCCTAGATTTATATCTCAGAAACTAGAACGTTAACATTCCAATTTGTCGAGTTACTGAAACACAGGCTTAACATTGGCATTGAGTTTAAATTTTTTAAAATCATAACATACTATAAAGAATTTTTATCTAGTCATATAACTTAGGCCCATACAATTTTAAAAGATAAAACCTTCTTCCTGTTATTTAATTCTTGTCTAGTAAGCATTTAACGCTGTGATAAATTCTTGCACAAATAGGCTCTTCTAAGATCTCCCCTCCCTACCACAACACAATCCACAATGACTCCAAATTCTAGAAAAGTAATTATCATCTTAGCTAAGTTGTTCAGAATGTGCTGTCCAAACTCACGTATGTTGTTCATACTTAAACAAAACTAGAAACATAACTACTGTAGCAAAAGCAAAATTCTGGCCATTAATAAATTCAGAAGTAATGGCTGATGCCACTACTTTATTCATCAATGTCTTATTTAAAAAGTGACAACAGACATTTGGCAAAATATCCTAAATTTACCCCAAGCTCTCAATGGAAGTTATTTTTTAATCCATCACTAATGCTTTCCTTTTAAACTATGCAAGTTTGATTTCTCACATTCTTACATAAAGTTACTAATATCACAATTCTAAGGAATTTCTTTTTAATCACACAAACGTGTGCTTAAATTGTAGTAAAGAAGTGAGATTCTTTCTTAGTCTATCTAAATAGGTTACCAAATATGTAAGTACTTTCTTCCATATAACTATCACAAGTTATGAAAAATAAACTCAATGTGTGAGTTAACATCCATGCTTATTCCACATAGGTACTGCCACTGGTCCCTGTGGTGTCCTTTCAACAATGACAAACTCATCAGGGTTGCTGAATGCCTCATAGAATACCAATAAATCTTGTATAGCATGCTCTTCAATCTGAAAGAAAAAAAGTATATAGTAGCATTAAATTAGGTATCCTCTTGGCAATAAGAAGGCTTAAGGCCTGAGCTAGAGTAATCAGATAGCTACCCTCCCTTGAATTTTAATTTTGAGTAAAGAAAAAAGAAACTGAAGATAGCTGGAATTCATTCATTCCCAAGATACTTAGTTAATGTACATGTCTTATAAGTGCTGCAGGACAATTAATGGGGTCCTGTCTCTGGTCTTTCAGCTAAGTCTTAACACCTAAGAACATAACTGAAGTCAAATGTAGAGTGAGCTAACTAAAACAGTGCAAAGCATCATCAGTGCTAAAAATATTGACTTAATCAGTTTATCCTGAATATTTTCAAGTAACACCTAACTTGCTGACTGCCTCAATTTTACTTTACACTGCATTTATAATTTAATTTGATAATTTTTTTTTTTAAATTATGCATACAAGAACTGAGGTGTGGGCTAGCAGATCTACTGAAATACACTGCTGAAAAGCAATGGGAGACAATAGTGGTCTATTGTGCCATGTGGGTTAACCCCCTGGTTAGAGCTCAAACTCAGATTTCAGTGACACAATAGCTTGACAGAGCTGAGACTTTACCCTGTGCACCACTATGGAGGCACTCCCACCCGTACCTAATTTTCTTAAGACCTAAGGACAAAATATAGCAGTCTTCCTTAAATTAAAACCTTTATAGGTATGTTATTTACCTGAATCAAAGATAAGGGTTTTTCTCGACTTCTGATAAGAGCTGCTTCCTGTTGTAGTTCTTCTTCCACAATAGATGCAAAAGTGACAGGGGCTACAGAAGACGCAGTCCATGAAGAAGCTAGCCAGGGACTGAAAAACAATGAGTTTCCATTTATCTTCCCAAATATTACACATAAAATCTCTTCTGAAATAAATTTTAAAGTACATATTTTTCCTAGTGACCTATAACAAGTACAGGGTAACCGGAAAGTTCTACATCTCATTTATAGAAAGCAAAGGTGAGAAACCGAGAAAATAATTATTTTTTGGATAATGCAGGAGAGAACTTAAAACACCAAAAATGAGGTGGAATAAAGCACAATAACAGAAAGGTAATTCAAACAATACAGAGCTTTATCCAAATAACACATTCTATGCAGTTATCTTACTACTTCCAATTTCTTAATGTTGTTTTCAAAACTATGTAGCACCCTAGCTTTAGAGACTCCAAGCTAAACAATTAACCTTACTTGGGACTGTCTAGAAGTCTCAAATCTGAGAGAGGATTGCCATCTAGTTGTAAGGTACCATGAGTAGAGCATCTGCAAAACAAATGCCAAAAACAGATTAAAAATTCTAGTAACATTAGTAAAAGCCTTTCTAAGTAGAAATACAGAAGCGCTGCAAGCCTCTGATGTAGGAGACAAAATTAATGTGTGCAGCTAGACTTACCTTTAAAATTATAACAAAGAATCTATAGGTAGTTATAAAATCTTGTGTATGAAATACCACAGAAGATCTTGTAAGAAATTATTTTGCTAATAATCATTTATCATAATCAAATGTTAGTTCTAATTACTATTTTATGAATGAAAGTGACAAATTAGCACTAAGTTTCAAAATATATAGGAACCAGATAATTAGCAGTCAGATTTCATGGGTGACTAGTGTAATACTTTGAAAAGGAATTATATAGATATAATGATCTCTACCTTCTAAGAGCTTACAAACCAGATGAGGGGAAAAATACCTACAAATAAGATTAAAGTAATATACAAAAAAAATTTAAGACAGATTATACAAATCAAAGTTTTAGTCACTGGAGATGTCTTCATAGAAAAGAGAGCAAAAGTAGTATAGAACATTTAGGGGAAAAATTAGCCAAGGCACTGGCCTAATTGTGGAATTTTAGAATTGGAAAGGTACTGAGAGATTACTCACACTCATCCAATGCCATTTTTCAGCAATGAGTAAATGCAGGCCTAGATGGGCCTCACAAAAGATAGTCAAATAGAGTGAACAACAGTCTAAAATATTAACTTACTGATTTTCATTTATGCCTAGTTACTGATTATGTGTACGTACTACATTGTTAAAACTTATTCCCTTCCCTTCAAAAAGTAATCAGGTAGGAGGCATTTAAACAATGATAAAACCATGAGTATTGTAACTGATAACTATACCCAACATATACAAGAGAAACTAACATACAGTGGAGGAAGGCTTCACTGAGAAAGCATTAAAGCCGAGATCATGTTTTTGTCATACAGATACATGGAACTAGAAATGTAAAAGACTGTTGGTTTAAGTTAAGGTGGCTATTCTTGGATCATAATTGGATTGGGTTATGGATGAAATCAGAAGTGAAAGTTAAAATAAAACACTATCATGATGCAACCAAAATGCACGGAAAGTTAAACTGTTTAGGTCACAAGGTAGGCAAACAATTACTGAGAATTCTCATCTACATTGTCTCATTTGCAGTAATCAGTAAAGAAAGCATGCGTTATTTCCATTATGCAGATTAAAAACTGACTCAAAGAATGTTAGAGGATTTGTGTAACTCAATTCAAATTTGGGTCTTTCACATAGTTTCTTTTCCCCTATTGTCACTAAGCTGCCTTTATTTCTCCAATTCTCAATCAACTTCAAATGCCTTCTCATTCTTTAAGTAGTGACTATATCATCATCATCTCTCTGTTCTTAAGAGTATTTAAAATACTATTATAGAGCTTTAAAAACTTATTGTTTACAGGCCTGTTTTAACTGCTAGCAGTCTTAAGATAGAAGACCATTTCATTCATCTTTGTATCTTAATGTCCAGCAAAACATCTGTAACATAGCTGTAAAAAGGTAACTAGAAAATAGTAAAAGCAGAAAAGACAAAGATTTTAAATATGGGATAAGTTACTTAAAAGTCCCTTATTACTTTGAATTAAGTTCTTCCTGTAGATGTAGATTCTGAAACAAAGTAGGTCTAATTATAGGCTCTTAGTTTCAAGTTCTAAGACTTTAAAACCTGAACGATAATAAGTGAAAGTAGTCTTCAGGACAATGTAAAAGATTTTCCACCTGAAGAAAAATAAAGTCAAGGAAAAAATAGAAAAGTATTGTGATAAACTCCTAAGAGATCAGAATCTACACTGGAATAACTAACTCATAGGAAGAAAACTTCTACATCTATTCTGATGGAATAGATAAATTACCCAAGTATCTTAACAGGCTTTGCTAAATCAAAGTTAAGTTGTTATACTTCAGATCTGACTACTTACTTTATAACGCACTTTAATACTACCTATTCATATATGAAACAGAGGTCAGAAAGGTTCAGAGGGCTACTGTAAAGATTAAACTTAAACTCAAATCTATCGCATAGCATAATGCCAGAACTTTTTCAGCTAATGACTTTCAGTGGATTATCTCAGTAATTTAAATTTATCCAATATTCAGATGAAATCCAAAATTTCATCTTAGAAATAAAGTTATGATAAAATAGGTATCAAAAACATTCTCAACTTTCATATAAGAACTACAATATTAGGCTTTAGGTGTTTGCAAAACATACTATCCCAATCAACAATCTCTAAAATTTGGCCTTTATAATAAAAGCAACATGAGATACTTATAATCATCAAAATAAAGAATATCAATGCTGGTAAATTCATGTTGAGAGATTCAAATTATTTTTGCTCAACTATTTGTTTTTATGAAGAATTGTTAATTTTATGTAAGATTAGAACTGATAAAAATGTTGTCTCAAGTAAGTTTTCTTTCTAATTAGAAACAATATAGCACATTTTCTGCCCAGAAATGAACAAAGCACACACAATAATTAACAAATAGAAAACACACAATTGCCCTTTTTCTACATTTTAACATTAACAGGTAACAGCCATTTTGGGATTTCTCTAGCCATGTGGGTCGAAAAATCACATTTCCTATAAGTAAAACATATATTTGACTTAAAGAATTTCCTCTATTCTCCTCTCAACTTCCCAAAGGACCCATAAGCATTCCTGTCTTCAGCTTGAATTCCCACTATTTCTTGTTTCTACTCCATTCTTCTTCTAAAAATCCCTTTCTATGTTCAAAGCTGTGACAATTAAATGGATCAGTAATATTTTCAATAATATTAATCATACACCCATAAGTAAATAATATACAAGCCCTTCCTCAAACTTTTCCTGACAATTATAACCCATTGTCCTTTCTTTGAATCACTGGGAATCTAATCATTATGCTTTATCTTTTTAAGTGTTACTATATTGTACTATTAAAATTTATTTTGTCATTTTACATACATGTACCTATTAAGACCTACCAAGCACCCTGAAGGCTGGTCCTGCATATTGTACACTTATACCCAAGAAAAGCCTACAGAAAGAATGTTGTATTAGTATCAGGTATCCCAGAATTTGAACCAATATTTTACTTTATCTATTATGTCATTATTCCCTTTTTAAAAAGGCCACTTATGTCTTTATTTTCTAGGATTAAATTGAAACTTCAAGTTGTTTTCCTTCTTGATCAGATAATCCACAGCTATTGAAAACACGTACTTCTACTCAAATACTTAAGTTATAGATGGCATATACTTCTTTAATATTTCCAAAACAGTTTAATAGCATACACCACTTCCCACAATTAAGAGCCTTGGTGTTAGAGCACACTCTAGTGATCAACTGTGAAACCACAGATCCTAATATTTTAAGATATATTAAGTATAAGCATTTAACACTAAAAACAAATGTTACCAAAAAAAGAGCTAGCTACAATTTTATCCAGCTAGTAATTCACCAAACACTAAGCATCTATTAGCATGCTAGGAAACATTGATGAAGAACTCAATCTTCTTTGTTCTCGTTTGAATATAATTGAATAGACATTAGAAGACAGTAATCACATTAATAAAAGTATAACTGAAAATTGTGATGAGAATATTATGAACAGGAAACTGATCTAGTAAGGTAGATCAGATGTCTCCAAAGACTATGACATTGCATAGGGATTGAAAGAAAAAGGCAGTCAACTAGTTAATGGAATAGGTAAATAAGAAGTAAATGGCATTTGAGCAACTATGCAAAGGTCAGGATGATTAGAATAGAGTAATCATATTAAAAGATAAAGCTTGAAGACCATATAACAACTCTAGCTTTTACACTCAGAAAGATTTGCATTAAAAAATAACACACTGGCTGAATGTATCAAAGGAGAGAAAGTTATGGCAAGACCAATTAGGTATCTCTTAGTCAGATAAAATTTCACATAAGTATGAATGAGGCTGATAGCAGCGGATTTAAGAAATAACTTGTAAAACATAACCCCTGCAATATAAATATATCTTTATATTAAGAGATAAAAGTTGCAAGGCTTATGATAGACTAGATATTGGTGAGGAAGATGGACATGCCAGAGGCATATAAATGCCATTTACCAAGAAAGAAAACTGGAAGTTTTCAAAGAGGGCTATAAGGAAAATATTGTTTGATTTAAATAGAAAGGGGAAAAGGAAGACAATAAAGAGGTTTGGGGAATTTTTAGAATGATAGTTATACTCAATGTCTTGAATACAGCTGGCAGTTTCTTGGGAATTAATGTATGTTAAAACTTCAAATTATATACTTTAAATCATACCACAATGACTTAAATTTAAAAAATAAGACATGTTAATTTTAATGTAAGAAATGTATAAAAATCTGCCTCAAACTTTTAATGGATATTTTAGAACAATTTAAGACAGAAAATATGTAAGTTAATTTTACTACCTTGCAATTTTTGGAGCTTGTGAATGTTCTATTCCTTTAAAACAAACTTTTTTGACATGATCTCCTGAACTGTGATCAGTAATAGATTTTTTCTCTTCTAAAAAATCCCGGAATGATTTCGGTGAAACTGAATGTAGAGAAGCTGTCCTGTAATAGATAATATAAATCATGTCAAACAAAACATATTTTAAAATGCCACTGCTGAAACCTACAAAGTTACAATGTAGAACAACACTGGACATAGAACCCAGAGGTGTTTAGTGATATTAAAAGCAGCTACTTATAACTATGCCTAACGTAACAACAACAAAAAAAAAAGTTAAAAATAAGATCAGTAAAGATGCTATGAAAAAAAGCAAAATTAGAAATGAAAAAAAGCAAAATTAGAAATTCAAAACTTAATACATATTTAAAAAATAATTTACTTGATAGCTATGAGAACAGATTGGCAGTCACTAAATCTGAAGAACAGAAAAGAAGAAAAAATTTGTTGTGACAAGAGATAGTACTGAAAAGTCTGTTATAATTGCAGTTTCTGAAGGAGAAAACAGATGGCACACGGAATAAAACAATGGCCAGCCATTTCTAAATTTGATGGAAGACAAATTTAAGAATTTTAGCAAATCCTCAATAAGATAAATACAAAGAAAACCATACTCTGACACCTAATTGGCAAACTGCTTAAACTAAAGATAACAAGAAAACCTTAAATTTTATGTATGCCAATATTTGGCAATTTACATGAAATGGAAAAATCTCTTAAAAACAATTTATCAAAAATAAAACTAAATCTATGCAGACCTGCATTTACTCATAAAACTGAATTAACTCACCAGACTTTGTATTGTAGGAATTTACAAATTGATTATAAAATACTTGGAATAAGTTACAGTAGGAATTAAGCCAATGTGGAACCAACCAGGATTAACAAATAATGGAACACAGAGATTAAAAACAGACCCTCATGGATAGGCTTTTTTTTTGGGTAACTGAATTGCCAAAACAATTCAGTGGGAAAGTGTTTCTAGAAAAAGTAACTTTAACTCATAGTATATACCCTTTCAAACTAATGATCATTGACGTAATGTAAAAACTACATATCCTAAAAAAAAAGAAAATAACCATCATTATGGTAACGGAAGGTATTTGCAAAACATACCTGATACCCAGAATTTTTTCCCCCAAGTCTATAGAAATCCCATAATGGCAGTGTTATTGTAAATGTTAAACAAGAGAAGGAACTAACTGTGTAATTTCGATTTGTCATTACTTATGTGTTCTTTGTTCATTTTCCTTTCACATAAAATACTCTTAATGTGGGGCAGAAAATTGATCTTTTGTGTCAAATTAATTAGTCACTTGTTGCAATAACATTATGTTTACCAGTTCTAATCTTACATTAAAATATTTATAATAAAGCTAACAAAATTCTCTTAAAATCCACTGTATGAAGAAAGTAATTTAGTTCTTTTAAAATCTGATTTTGCTAAAATTGATATTCATTTTGAACAAAAATCTTTGAAAGAGACTTAACTAATGTAGCTTTTGTTTTAGGAGGCTAGATTCTATAAAGATTGGTAACTAGGATGTCATTTATTAAACATCTAAAGTTTAATAATGTACTGATATGAAAACTAAAAATGATACTTGTTTTGTTATAGCTCTATTTCAAAATTTTGCTTCATTTTAAGGTGAAATATGCTAATTTTCCCACTTTGTTAGGAGACTGTAGTTATCTTAATAAGTGAGCATAATTGCTAAGTAGGTAATTCCCAAAAGTTTTTGTTACAGTTTGAAGAAAATATAAAATACATGCCCAGGTTGAGTTCATAGCTCTTTGGGGTACCCTATAAAATTTCCTAAAATCTTTTATAGCCACTACATCTGCAAGATGCATTGCATTACCCTTATAACAGACAAGTACAACCAAAATTCAGATACAGCAGGGCTGGAATCAAAATCTATTTCTTAATGACCATTAAAACTCATCCTTTGCCATTTAGTCTACCACTGCTTTCAACATGAATCACTCTTTGTTGGCTAGAGCTATTTACACAGATTACATCAATGCAAACCAAGATTTTTTCCTTAAAATATTCATCAAAACTTACTATGTTAAAAGTAATCATTATAAATTAAAGTACAATTTATTTAAAACAGCATTTGTGTATTTGATTGTACAAAGTTGAAAGTGTTTTGCCAAAATATTCAGTGCAATCTTTTCGTTACACCTATGAAACAGGTATTGGTTATCAACCCTACTTATTAAGACAAAATTCACTTTACAACTTCATCACTCTACTGCTAAGTCCACATTTAAGTCATTTACCCTAAGTAAAAAAAAAATTTTTTAAGATTTATTTGTGCATACAGAACTGGGGTACAAACTAGAGAGAGTGGGGAGCAGAACAGGCAGATCGACTAAGCACACTGCTGAGGGGAGAAGCGGGCAGGTCAGGAGTGGTCTGCAGCGCCAAGTGGATCTCCTTCAAGGCGGGGGGGGGGGGGGAATTAAACTCTTGTGGAAGTGGCTTTAGCTTCTTAATGCTGTGCTTGCTTTAACCCGCTACACCACCAGGGAGGGCCTACCCTAAGTAAAATCTTAAGCCATACAAACTTTACAGATCTGTATCAGTAACATGAGCTACTAAGGTGTTTTTCCATTTGAAGATTTTTTAATATAAACTTGACATTATCACATCCAAAATAAACACATAGATAAACATTTCTATTTTCTACTGTAATTTCTTACTAGTAACTATCCTGCAATTTTACTGAGACTCTGGCTGTTTTCCAGCTTAGCAATGAGGAAAACTTTATGGAGAAGCATTTATAACCACATAAAAATTAATCAAGATTTTGATTCAGAGCTAAGTCATGAAAATTTTGCTTTCATGAATAAAATGTCTTGCTCTAAAAAGCGAAGTAACTGAAATTGGTATATAATTTATAGGTTAGTTTGAAATTTTGGAAGAATTTACATGCATACATCAAGTCAGGCCACAAAGATTATGCATTCTTTTACTCAAAATGACCTAAGAAATGCTGTATTATTTCTCTAGGTAAAAAAACAGTTACCAAGCTAACACTTAATATTGTCACACCTAACTTTAGGCAACAGAATACAACTATATACTGAGGGTCATATAAAGGAGGTAAATCAATGTTAAGTAAAAACAAACTGCCGGGCCCTCCCTGGTGGTGTAGCGGGTATATGCAGCACTAAGAAGCTAAAGCCACTTCAGCATGAGTTCGATCACTGTCCCGGAGGTGATCCACATGGCCCGGCAGACCCACCGGCTGCTCCCCTCAGCAGTGTACTTCGTCGGTCAGCCTGTTCTGCACCCCACTCTGTCTCTGGCCAATCCTCTCACCGCCCCTGCACCTCAAGTATTTAGATAAACATAGTATAAAGACATAAAAAAATTACATTGAAGTATTAAAAAAGCAAAGATAAAATCACTGACAATATGAAGTAAAATTTAAATTTAAATTTATCAGTGTAGAGACAGACATTTACATGTGAGATTCTCAGGGAAACAAACCTATTCCATTTTTTACTTTCCTCAAGCATATATTACATAAATTGACATCCTATGTATTTATGATAAAAATGAAGTGATACACAATAAATTAGTCTATAGCCAAAAAAGAATTTTCTACCTAGTAAAATGTACATGAAATTCCTAAACAGAAAACATCCATTCCTCCTAGAGCTTCCTCAGTGCTTAGTTAATTCTCTTAAATTGCAACATATTTAGTATCTTGAGAATTTAAATTTTTTTTGGCTTTATCCTTTCATTGAAGAAAAATAGTTTTGCAGCAGCTACTATATAAAGTCTACAGTGGTGCTACAAAATTTCTCTTGTATGTTGCTTATTAACAGGAAATACTACAGTGTACCTACCATGGAGAAGGCATTCAAAAAATACTGATAATTTAAAAAATATTTTATTAAACCCGTATCCTAACTTTTATCCTTTTGTTGCCAACTTCCTGTTTTACTTTTTCTACAATCATGCCTAGTTTTACTAGTGGCTCTGAGAGACATTACATTGGTTTCGTGCCAGTGGTGGAACTCACTCACAAAGTGAGTTGCCACTCTTCATTCAGATTTATATTTTGAGAAAAATACTTCTATTAGAAAATGTGACATTAGAAGAATGAAGGATTTTCCCAGTTACTACCTCCCAAATACTGTGTAATCCTGTGAAAGAAACAATTCCTCTGATCTCTACCTTGCCTTTAATAACACCCAAATATTTCCCTAGAACTGTTTTCCAATTATTATAAATTACAAGGAAAAAGGAGGGTGGGAGCAGGAAACAATCTATTTTTACATGTTCCAAATCTGTTGTGTTATCTCTGGATATTAATGGTACCATTATAGGTAAATTCAGATAATGATAAATACATATGCTTTAAAAAGTAACAAGCTATGACTAAAACCCTGTAAACATTCATAATGCACAGAAAAGGACAAATAAGGGCAGTAAAAAAGTTCATCAAAATTTTCTATATATCTTATAAAAATAGGAGACTGCTTTTTAAAATTGTTTTAGCAAGAGACAAATGGAGCACTAAAAATTTTACTAGCACACAAAAAAATTTGAAAACTGATGTAGATGTCAAACTTACTTCCCACGTTCCAATTTTTAAAAGCTAATGCACAGATCTGTACTTATTTTTAATGAAAATTAAAGCATACCATGCATTCACTGGCTTGGGAGGTTTTGAAGGAGTGGTTAAAGCTGTTTCCATGCTATTCATTCCTGAATTATTTTCTTTGGTAACCATTGAAATCATTTTTCGTTGCTTCTGCGAAAGTTTAACTCCATGAGAAGTCATTTTCCTAGAAATTAAGTTAAATTAAATCATTAATTTCACTGCTTCTGAATAAGTTTAACTGAGAAATCACACTGTTTGAAATTAAACCTATTAGAATTTCTGCTTAATGAAGGTTATAGGGAATTATATTTCTTAGGCTTAATGTAATCTGAGTATTACTGGGTCAAAATGACCACAAGCTTCAACACTGATATGATTAACTAATATCTACATTATCAGTCCAACTGCTAGCACACTTGCATCAGAAACAATCCACAATGATCACTTTAGAGACAAGTTTCTGTCATGTAATGCTATACTACACAAGAATATAAGTCAACTTATATGTTACAAGATAAAATTTCCTAGAAAAGGGCCTATAGTTAACATCAAATAAAGGAAAATATCAGTATACAGCTTTCAATTTTTTAGGGTAAAAATATAAACATAACATAGTCTTTCCTATTTTATGATTTTTTAACCAACCCCAAATTTGTCTTTGGTGTAGCTCCACATTTTTGTCTATTTTCTTCAATTTGCATGATAGTTCTGAGATCCGTAACAGGAGGGCTGACAGGACTAAAACACATACAAAGGTTACTTTATAACACATTCACTTAAGTTAAATTTTACGTAAGATTGGTAATGTGCAGGTAACTTAGATATCTATCACTTTTTGGCTAACTTGAAAAAGGATATTTTGAATGAAAGTCTTTCTCACACATATAAATAAGTAAATTGTACAGCAGAAACTCAACTCAAACTTTTATTAAAATTACCAGCCATCAATGGAATAAATGAAACTTGAAAAATCTAATTTTTCATATCTAACAAAATTCTTACTAGTAATGTTAACCATATAAGAATTAGAAAGATCATAATGGAAAAACTTGAGAATGTTCAACACAAAAGACCCATCAGAGAAAGTTGTAAAAAAAATTTCTATAATTTTTTAGAATTAGACAATTTCTGATCTAAATGAAGTCTACCATGCAGCTGAAAACTACTCAATCATAACCTGTTTTATTTTCTCTCATTAAAAAATTACAGCTTCAACTAAATATTAGAATGATATAGCAATATGTATGTATGCTAATGGATGCTCAGCATATATTGCTAAGCCCTTTTCAAATGAATACTACTGAAATAATTTCAAATTGTTATGCTTTAAGAATAATTTGGGATAAAGTCAGCAAATTTAATAAAAATTAGCAAGGAGAAACTGCTTCTAAGTATTCCCACAAATTATGTATGCTCCAATTTTACAAATTAGAAATTTTGATAGGCAACACAATTATGACCAATTTCTGGACTACTTGATAATGAAGCAACATCAATCTTTGTTCCAACTATGTATAACACAAGAGACTGTTAAATAGTACATTTCAATTATTGCTACTTCTTCAGCTGAGATAGAGGGAAGTTAAAATTCACATTAAATGAGTATCTGAACAACAATGCACTTTGTGAAATCTTGATTAAGGTGTATACCTTAATGTAATTTTAAACAAATGATAAAGCAAGCCTACGAATAACAAAACAGTCTTCCTAAATAGTATTTATAACTACTATAGACTATCCTAAAAAAAAAGTTGATTGGATTCCAGTCTAGATGGAAAAAAGTCTCAGCTGGTTAGCCATTTATAGGTACTTAGGTGGTATTTATAAATTTCAAATACAAAAAATATTTTGTATTTTTCCAATGTTTCCTTAAATTTTTTTAACTAAATTTTTTCTCAGATGAACAAGTACAGAATAAAATAAGAATCCTACCTCACAGAGTTAGTAACCCAACTGGAAGAGTTTGTTGTATCAAAGATGTTACTGGGAATGGGCTGTGGAGCAGATATTTTAAGTTTTGGTGATTTTTCCCATGGCTTTAAATCTTCCTTAGAATATGTAGGAGATGTGCCATTCACATATTGTTTAACTTTCCCCTGAGAGAGAAAAAAAGTAAATAGACACCTAGCACAGTGGTTAATATGTAGTACTTAATGCTATAAATTATATATTAGAAAGTAAAATCTTATGTAAATAACCAGCAAATTAAAATATTTCTAAAAAAGTAAAATCTTACATCATCTAGTAATTTCAGTTCTTTCACGATGTAGTGCCTTTATCAATTTTCAAACAGTATCAATGACTAATCCAGTAATTGTTTAGAATTTGGGAAATAATTTTCAGAGAAGTAAGTTTGTGTATTGTACTTCTTATATAGATTGCACATGGACATTAAGCAAAATGTTAAATAAGTCATTATTACATTGTGAAGCAATAACCCTAAAATTAGTGTCCTTGACTTTAATATGAAACAGAATGAAAGTCTGGCATAAATGTCATGTTTCATTCTAAATATTAGTATGAACAAAAGTACTACTAAATACTTCAAAAGGAACCCTAAATATATTGTTACTATAGTATATTAAGGAATTTATTAAAATAATGTTCACTGTTAGAATAAATTCTATTAATGCCAGACATTCACATCCTGCTTCAGTCTTCCTTTAATACTGGTCTGGAACACATTGAGCTTTAAAGGAATTACCCAAAACTCCTCTACAATAAAAAACAAACAAAAAAAAGCAGATTCTAAGACAGAGTAAACATTCTATTTTATGTAGTATGTTTTGTAAAAGTATAAGGGTTAGAGAAAAAAACTAGTAAGTTAAACATTTTCCTGCTCTATAGATCAACAATTTTGGAATAAAATGTTGAGCTATCTAAAAAACAAACTTGGAGTGAGTTAAACTAGAACTCAGATTGTTTTGCTCCTGTTAACATGTAAGACTGTAGGATTTGAAATCTATTAATTTCAAAATCACTTTCATTGACAAGTTTGTAGCTTGTTAACCTGACATTTTATAACAGTATATATTTAGTTGCAGAAAGGTTAAAATGTAAGAACTGCCACTAAAATCTTTAAAGCTAAATAGAAACATTATGCAAAATTGATAAGATTACTTTTATTCTATCATTCTAACATTAATATTCTTACAAATTAGTAGGGAGAGTGTTTAAAGACAGAACAAAACCCAACAAAAAATTAAGAAAAACTTATTTATAGACTTGAAATTTAAAAAGTGCAGTAGGAGAAAAAAAACCAAACCTCAATCTTATTTGAATGAATTCCTGTTGTGAAATCAGGAGATTGTAAATCTCTAGGACTACCCACTCCTATATAGCTTCCTTCAGAATCTGAGGTTAATAGTTCTGGAAGAGATTCCACAGAATTGGTCTTATCAGACTTTAATAATCCTAAAAGGTAAAATTTCAAAAAAACATTTCAACACAATATATATATATTCAAAGAACCAAATAAAGCTAAACGCTTCCATTTATCTTGATTTGATAACAATTATTCACTGTATATAAATCTTAATTCAACCAGCTAAAAGAAAGCAATCTTAAGTTTTATTCATTTCAGTTACATACAAATTGACTAAGGAAGATGGTTCTTTGGGATCTACTTTAAGAATAATTCAGAAACTTTTCAACCCATAAAGAAGACAAAATTGACAAAAACCGGCCTCCTTCATTTTTCCTTTCTCATCTATTTCTCAGTACAGAAATTTCTATACCAGGCAAGAGAGGGTCTGGTCCCATTATGTATTCACAGAAGCATTGTAGCCTAACTTACTTTTAGCCAGCATACTGGCCAACCAGCAGAAGCTTACTAACACAAACTGGACTGTCTTGAGGGGTTTTCATTCTGTAAAAAAAAAATCTATTGAAGCTATTTTCAATTAGCTTATTGCCTAAATCAAAAGGGTTATCATTATCAAATGTATGTATCCTTTTTTCCTAATGTAAGCGAAACACCAGTGTCTCTGCCATATCTGGTAATCCAGCCTCATTAGCAGATCAGATTAAGTTCAATATAAAGGGAATGAAAAGCAAACTTTAAGGTTCAAGTATTTATTTCAAATTTAGTAAATGCTAAATGACATAGAAAAAGAAAATACTGGCCCTCCCTGGTGGCGCAGCGGGTTAAAGCACTGCACTGCACTGAGAAGCTAAAGCCACTTCTGCATGAGTTCGATCCCCGCCTGCCCTGGAGGTGACCACATGGCGCGGCAGACCTCTCCTGACCCGCCCGCTGTTCCCCTCAGCAGTGTACTTCGTCGTTCTGCCTGTTCTGCTCCCCACTCTGTCTCTGGTGAAGCCTCTCGCCGCCCCTGAGTTTTCTGGCCTGTACCCCAATTCTGTATGTACAAATAAATAAATTAAAAAAAAAAAGAAAATATTGCATGAGCTGTAACTAATGTATGATTTGTATATTTTATTTTTAAATTGTTTCTTAAACATTCAAGTAAACAGTATTCTCCTTAAAGTAAGTAATCTTGACTTACTATCTTTGTTTATTGTATAATTCATTGCTAATACAATGAATTTGGAAATACTCATTCTTTTTAACCACACTTGTAATATTTTTTTAAGAAAGTATATTTAATACTAGAATGCTCTCAAAAGTCAGTTAGAATAAATCTAAATGAATAAAGACAATTATTAAAGTGGTCAACAATTATTTTTGGTTAAAAGCAATTTCACAGAATGTAGGATAATTTTACTTTAAGGATCAAAACAAATATTAAGCCTTCATATATCTGATGAAATTTTCTTCCAAAATATCTCTATGGCCTTCAGATTGAGTTTAACTGTTATAATCATTATCTGCTTTGGCCAAAGGGGGAATGGTACAGCAGGAAGAATATGGAATTGGAACCAAGAAGTTCACTTCTTTCTCTCATTACTAAAATCAAAATGTTTTCCTGAGCCTGTTTCCATAGCTTTAAAGGAAGAATTCTAAATTAGCTCATTAATAATGCCTCCTCCAGCTCTGAAATAACTAAGACTCTAACACTTGTGCTAACAAGAACACCATTTAAAACAAACCAAGTATCTGCTTTTTCCTTAAACTTTTTAGGTTATTGGGAAATTACTAGTCTCATTATTGACTATCCATTTATTCATCTATTCATCATTCCATCAAACCAACTAAGCCTCCTTCCAAGTACTAATGATAATCCTCACAGTACAGGAAACAAAATCATAGATTTTTAATTTTGATATATATTCTAAAATAGGTTTTACCCATTTACTTTCTCACTAGATTCAGGTTTGTCATTCACTTTTATTTTAATATATCATCCTTCATTTTTGTACAATATACCCATGCACCATCACTGTAATTTGTTATCTAAAACTATCCTTGACATTTCTCCATTTGAGTTTTATTAAGCATGTCAAATACCTCACTTGTAATATCTTTTTATATTTTCTTTGCCATGAATAATGGCTTTTTTTCACAAAAACATAGAACAATTATGTTTGCATTTTTCAAAGTTGCTTGTAATAAAGAATGCCCATGAAGTACTGCTAAAAAAAACTTACACTAGACATTTTTAAGATTAAAACAAAAAAGGCTATATAACCATTTGGGGGACAACTATGGAAACCATATATATAATGTAACAGTAGATAATGAATTAATGCTAACTGTGTTAGATTTGGTAATGGTATAGTGGTTGTACAAAATGTCCTTACTCTTAAATTTAGAGCTGGAGAAAAGGATCATGTCTACAACTTCCAAATGTATCAGTAAAACAGTAATTGTCTATGTACAACAAATTCTATTCAACAAAAAGTCTGCAGGTAAAAGTAAATGTCGTTAAGTCTTTTAAATCTGGATGATGTACATATTCATGTTTTCTTTCATCTTGTCAGTAAGTAAAAGATTTTCAAAATAAAAAGGTAGAAGAAAATTCACATGACCTTTGCTTTCAAAGAGGCTCACCTAACACCTGCATACAAAGGAGCTATAATCTATGACTAGATTATAACCTTCTATGCATAAGGATGATGTTTCACTTGAAATACTGATATATAGGAATTGAACTCACCTGATAATGTCTGTCATGCTTTTACCCAGGGCAAACACTGCCCTGGACCACACCTAGCAAAGTCTTTCCAAAACCAAAGTTTATCCAGCTGTACCTTGACTTAAAAATTTCACCAAGAGGCTCTCCCTGGTGGCGCAACGGGTTAAAGCACAGCACTGATAATCTAAAGCCGCTTCCGCATGAGTTCGATTCCCGCCTGCCCTGGAGGTGACCACATGGTGTGGCAGACCTCTCCTGACCCACCCGCTGCTCCCCAAAGCAATGTACTTCATCGATCTGTCTGTTCTGTTCCCCACTCTGTCTCTGGTGAAGCCTCTCACCGCCCCTGAGCCTCTGGCCTGTACCCCAGTTCTGTATGCACAAATAAATAAATCTTTAAAAAAAAAAAAATTTCACCAAGAACTACTAATAGCCTTTAGAATAAAATCCAAATTCTTTAGACTGTTATACAATAAGCTTTAAAATCTGATCCTCTCAAAGCTATTGCCTATCTATACAAATCCTATGTAGCTGAACTAAGTTGCACCATATACACAAAAAGGTACAGTTCTAACAACCTGAGTTTATGAACATATTGCTCCCTTTACATATACTCTGGCTACTTTACTTGATGATTTCTTACCATTCTTAAAAGGTCCAACTCCGGTATCACTTTCCTTTAAGAGGTCTTCCCTAACCTTATACAGTTTGGGTGACATTTTAGTACAGCCAAGGAAAACTCAGAGTACTTCTCATAACATGACTACCATTCTCTATAACTCCCAAAGACAAGACTATTTCCTATTTCAGTAGCCCAGGCAGAAGGCATAGAACAATATTTAATACATGCTACATGAATTAAATAATGAATAAAGACGTAAAATATTAGATCAGGAAATAGATTCTACTAACCTGTAGATGGTGGACTCTGAATAATATCTGAAAGGTTATAACCTCCGGAACTATCTGAACGCTTACGTTGCTTCTTTTTTGCTTTTGTTTTTGCCTTCTTGAACATACTCTCCCTAGGGAGGAAAAAAAAAAAACACAAACAAGTCACTTTCTAAATATAAATTAAGCTAGAGATGTAACACTGGAAGAACTATGCACTTTGACCAAAGAATATAGCATTTCAGTGAAACAGAAAACATACAGTGTTACACACTATAGTAACCTTTAGTTAACCTATGTGGCTTATCACTAATTTCACCTCACTTTAAAATATTACTTGTTCTCTAATGTTAGCATTTCTGTGGAAGTTATAATCAAGATGGTATCATCTATAGGAAAATACTTTGAAAATACTAGAAATGTTTACACACAAACTATTATAAACTGTGATCTTAAAAACTATTTGGTGATAATTTTTTTTTTTAAAGATTTATTTATGCTTACAGAACTGGGGTTCAGGCCAGAGGTGTGGTGGATGAGAGGATTCACCAGAGACAGAGCGGGGAACAGAACGGGCAGATCTACTGACACTGCTAAGGGGAGTGTAGGCAGGTAAGGAGAGGTCTGTCATGCCACATGGGTCAGCTCCCGGGCTGGGGCTCAAACTCTTGCTGGAATGGCTTCTGTGAGCTTCATAATGCGGTGCTTTAAGCTGTTGCACCCTGGTGATAATTTTTAAAGTGTTTCAGGATAAGTCTAATTTTTTGAATTGAAGGAAAAATAAAATTGATGAAACAGTTTTGTTTTACCTAAAAACTTTAGGTTTCATTATATCTTTATCCACAGTTATAAAGATTATGTGTGAGTACTATTTATTATTGTGCAGGAACTATTTGTCATTTAAATTTATGACCGATTTTAAGACAGTGTCCATCTAGTCAGAAACCTGTACTCCAAATATCCCAAATGCTACCTAGGAAAAAGGGATTTTAAGTAAAGAACATCACTGAAACCCAAGGGCAGTTTTTCATCAAGCTACACAGTTGACTATTATGCAACGATAGTGGCAAAAAATTTACATCATTATATCACTGGAACCAGTTATCTAAAGAATGCCAAGAAGTGGCTGATGTCCTTCTCTCTAGAGTATCTCTAGTTTAATCTCTTCAGAGAGCAAATCAATGCTCAATGCTCTGTGAATCATAAGAAATCCTCTTTCTAAATCACTGCTATTCATAAACCTAGTATCTCTATTTCTTAAACTTTTTCATAATTGTTTGTTCAGTAACAACTTTCTAACTTCCAAAACCATTAGCATCTCCAAATTGGTTGTTTCCTGTTCTCTCTGGAGTAGTGCAATATACATTTATTTTTAAACATAATCTCAACAGTGTTTGCAAAAGTGACAATAAATTTTGCATTTATTAACTAACATTTAGCATGAGTGAGTCCTCTGATATTTACATTTATTTACATTTGCAAGAATTATGCATTTACTTTGTACTGAAAACAAGAATAAGATAAATACATCAGGTTTACATTTTTTTCAAGTCCCTATAAATATGAAAGTGTCTAATTTCACAGTGTATGCATGAGTGGGGAGGCAAAGAGGAGAGAGGGAGGAAAAAAATTGAGCTTACGAATAATTTGGTTCTGTATTTATCCCTTCTTTCAAAAAGATGTCTCCATCGTCTATTTCCAAATAGCTAATATCTGGTCCATCCTGATAAGGTGTGATGACTCGTCTATCCATTGCTGGAATCTATAAAAAAGAGGTTACTTTTTAAACATAAAATCTGTGAAGTCTTTTTTAAAATAGGTATAAACCCCATTTGTTAATGTTACCACACAGTAAACTAGAAAGTCTAGAATACTTAATCACTTCCTAAATGTATAAGGGGAGACAAATTTGATTTGAATCACTAGTTCACTCCATGAAACTGAAAAAAATCTCCACTTTATTGCAGATTAGTTCATCTTTTTGTTATGTGAATCCATGTTTTGTATTCCTAAGCTTTGATAAAAAATGACCACTTTAAGTTTTTAATAACCTTTATTTTTTAAAAGAATTAAATACTAATTTTATTATTAAATATATTAAGTACTGGTTATCACACATCTCTATGATCTACAAACAAATCCTATATCATTATTTTTAAAACACAATGTATTAAAATTCACTATCAAAATTTTCCATTAAGAAGTCTGACCTAATATACCACTTTTATTGATAATACCAAAGCCCATCTCACTGAACAAATACAAACCTTACCATTTTACGGTAAAACACAGAAAGATCTTTTAAAACGCCATCACTCAAGACATCAAGAGACCTAAAATATATTTATAAAATAAAAATTTTAAAGACTCAAGTAACTTAATACCTGTCCAGATTTTCAAGTAACTGAACTTCTAAGTTATTTTATAAGTACTAACATTACAGCTACTAAAATTTTTAATTTATGCAGTTATATACTTCTAATAAACGGCAAACATGTTAGACACATCTCTAATAAGAGTCAAGCACTTCTTATAAAAGGCATAATGAAATAACTATTCTTTTTCCAACTTTCATTTCCCTCAAATTATACTCAACTACAGAAGAACAGTTACATCAACAGAACAAAAATCTATCAGGATATCTGAATTCTAAGTTAATAATCTGAATGACTTTGAACAACTTTACTTTTTTGGGTTTTAGTATTCTCATGTCCGAATCAAGTCAGTTTTCAAAATAGATTTCAGTGATGATCAAATTCTAAAAATGTACTTTACTTAGTGAAAATATAAATCAGGCTGTTTGTATCCTAAAAGTTAATATAAACCCACATACATATTCAAATCTTTAACAACTCTGAGGTTAATAAACTTCTGCTGTTAGTACAATTTTAGCATTGTCCTCCATTTAACATCCCTGTGCAGATTTATTTATACTTCTGGTAAAACGATTCTCTATTTAACAATGCTTAAGTTTGTGTTTTTATTTTAACGCAAATTATGCATGTCTACTTAAATAAAATTAAACAAGTAAAAACATCACCACAGCACATGTGCCATCCTATACTAAACAGCTCTGCTGATACACTTATCAGAACACAGTAGTTAGTAACAGTAGGGTGAGATATTTTCCAGTAAGATGTTTTAGATAGATTTGATCTTGTTTTAAATTTTGGTCTTATCTAACAAAATGAAAGGAGTTTAATTTGGAAATCTAAGGTAGAAAAATAACTAGAATTATTAATGCAATGTTAATTAAGAAATAAAACCATTCTGAAACTCTAGCCAGGTTCTGATACTAAGATAATACAGGCATAAAATTAAATTACATTTGTATGTATTCTCATGCTCATTTCATAAACATTAACAAAGTTTTTGTAAACATGAACTTAGGCAATAAAATTTTTAAGTATCAAAAAAGTATCACCAGTTTCTATATTACTCAGCTAAAATTAAAAATTTATGAAATGTTAAAAACATTTTCCATGTAACAACAATGCATTACGAGTTTTCTATCAATTGAATTCTAACTAGCAATTAAGATTTGTTAGCTACTCACCTCTAAAAATATAGTGGAACATTTTTATTTCAGTCATGCTTTAGAATTAAGTTCTCTGAAAAGTGAGTTCTCAAAAAAATTACTACTTATAATAAACTATATGGCTCAAGACTCAATTTTTTGCAAAAATAGCTTTCCTGGATTTTCCCATGTGTAACATGAATATATAAACAGAACCTATTTCATAAAGTTCTCATGAAAATTAACTGAATCTAAAAATTTATCAATGTTATGTGGCACATATTTATCATTATTGCTACTATATACTACTGCCAATAACTTATCACAGTATTATAAAAAATATAAAGTGAATAAAGCTATAAAAATGCACATCGCAATCATACTAGTCTCAATATATATATTAACCAGAACACTCATTTTTCTCACCTTTGACTTTATAGTAAGTAATATTTGGTGTTTTTAAATTAAAAGTTTTCATTTAAATTCTTATTAAAATTATTGTTGAAACATTTGAAAACAGTGAGATGAAATTTCTAAGACCCCTCTAATTTTGAAATGTATAAATTTCAAAATCATCTTTCCATCCAAGTAAATATCAATAACGTAAAATAGTAACTTAAAAAAAGGTATATATTTTTAGCTAATAAGTTCTTATATAATAAGTGTCATAAACATTTCATTATGCATTCATTTCTACTAAAAGCGTCTCCTACATCAACCTGCAACAAACTAGACCAACTAAATTTTTCAGACTCGCTATTACAGCTTAAATTTAATCAAAGATTAGTAAATATAGGAAATATCGAGGTTAAATGCAAATAAAAATAGAAAAATCAGTAATAAATTTTATGCTTGCCTATATTTAAGGTAATTAATTGCTAAGCTAACAATCACCTAATTACTTATCAACCTAGAATTTTTGTCTATTTTGTTGAAAAATGTTTCTCCATATATTTTCATTTTCCATACAGTTGGGATGTTATCATTATTTACTTTTAAATCACTAACATATCCACTATTATATATAAACAACTGCTTTTCCCAACAGTCACATAATACATGTATCCAACCAACCTTGCTTCAAGTAAAGCTGCCATATTCAGTCCTATAAACTGTAAACAAGACAGTTTCAATTGTTCAGCATTATACATTGTTGCAAATTCCAGTAACATAGCAGCATTTTTAAGTGTAACTATAAAAAAAGGAAAAGATTATAAGGAAAAATAAAATAGTTTCTTGCAAAAATAATTTGCATTAGAGGAAATACAAAACTTGTTTATCCCAGCATGCCACAGAAACTTGAAACAAATGGTTATGTGGAAAGTGGAAAAATAATCATACATAGAAGTAGTTTAAAATACTAAGGTGCATTACCTATCATTTAAAAGCAAACAAATAATAAACAATCTTCCCTCTATCTAACATTTTCAACTTTCAATAATAAACTGCTTAATTTTTTCCCCCAAGGACTTTTTTTTTACTTATTTTTGTACAAAGAGTGAGGTGTAGGTGAGGGTGGTGGTGAGAAGATTCACCAGAGACAGAGCCGAGAGCAGAACAGGCTGACTGACTGAAAATGCATTGAGAAGGGGAGTAGATTAGAAAATATGAGAGTTCTATTGTGCCACATATGGGTTGGCTCCCTGGCCCAGGGATCAAACTCAGGCCATAAGGTGATAGCGCTGAAACTTAACCCTTAGGTCACCAGGGCAGCCCAACTCTCTTTTATATTTTATCCCACACTTATCCCTTCTGTAAAATTAAGACAAAATATTAAAATTATTCTATGAAATAGATCTATGTTGTGTAATCCAATCCAATTTATATTAGATAGGGGATGTAATTACAGTATGACTATACTGTATTTCATATTTGAAATCATATAAAAATATAAAGTGAATTATATTTTCATATATAATATTAATTTGATATTTATATTATAAAATTGTATCTTTATGGATATCAAATATTTCATATTTGATACAACAAATATGTACTTTAAGTTATCACAAAAAAAGACTACCCATTTGTTGGAAATGGATAGCTAAAATAATTACAACTACAACAGACCAATACAAGAGAAAAAAATTTTGCGACTCTCAATTCTCATCCCTAAAATTCCCAAGTAAATCTCACATCTTTATTATTCAAGGTCTTACTTTAATAAAAAATTAGTAATTCTAAGATGTAAATATTTAAACATCTCTGAAATAAGAATGTGCTCACAAATGACAACATATACTTTCAATGTTTTGAAAAATTTTCATGCTAGAAAAAGCTATGTCCCATTTTACATAAAAGGCATTATAAAATTACCTAAAAAATAACTAATCCTAGATCAAAGCAAGTAAATATTGACATTGTAATTCAAAATTACTCACGTTTTTCAGTTAATGCTACTTCACAAGTCTCCTTTAATCGAATTATGAGAAGCTGATCAGCAACCACAAGAACGCTACATACAAAATCCACATTCTGAGATTCTAAAACAAAGAAATGTTGTTATTATTTGGTAAACATATACCTGGGAAAAAGTTCAACTAAGACACCAGCACAGAGATTATAAGTATTGTATAAATAGTGAAATGGCAATCCACTATGGAAATCCAGTGCATTAGGGACTAATGCAAAGAAATAAACAGAAAAATTGTTGAGCAACATTAGCAAAGGACTTTCATCATTTGACCTCTCTGGTAATCCCTACAAACCCCACTAACAGGACTCATCTTGATTTAAAGGTTGCTCAATGGGAACAGCATTTTCCTAAAAGGATTATTATCAGTGGAAACTGTTGAAATTAAACCTTACTGAAATAATCATAAACAACTTAAGAGTTAGGCAAAAAGACACTGTCACGATTAAAGAATGTGTCCCTCCAATTTGTATGTTCAACTCCAATTCCCAATGTAGCTAAATTTAGAAATGGTAACTTTTGAGAATAATTAAGTCATAGTGGTGGGACTCTGATCCAATACTATTAGTGTCACTCCCATTCATACACAAGACCTAAGAAAAAGTCACGTGAAGGTATAGCAAGAAGGCAATCATGTGCGAGCCAGGAATGGAGCCCTTGCCAGAAACCAAATCTACTAGACTCTAATTCAATCTCTTTAAAACAAATTTCTATTGCTTAAACCATCCAGCTTATGATATTTAATTATGGCAGATTAAGCAAACTAACAAAAATCTCTTAAGGGAACTTTGGAGTTATGAGCCATTACTGTAAATCTAAAAATCCACGTATCTGTGTAGAATTGTGCACTGGGTAAGTTATGCACTGTCGAAGAATACTTTAAAAAAGAGCCAAATTCTGACCTGTGGCTAAATTTAAGATATTACAAAAGCAGAAAATTAAAATTAGAGCATAGAGGTAAGCTGCCTGCTATAGATTGAAGGCTTGCCCCAACATACATAGAAAGATCCTAGGGAGATACACTGGTTTAGATAAATAAGAAGTCTTGCCTAATTTTTTTTTTTTTAAGATTAATTATTCATACAGAACTGGGGTACAGGCCAGAGATGCGGAGGGTGAGAGGATTCACCAGAGAGACTGGGGTGCAGAACAGGCAGACTGACGAAGTACACTGCCGAGGGGAGCAGCGGGCATGTCAGGAGCGGGTCTGCCGCGCCATGTGGATTTCCTCTAGGGCAGGCAGGGATTGAACTCATGAGGAAGTGACTTAAGCTTCTTAATGCTGTGCTTTAACCTGCTGCGCCACCAGGGAGGGCCAGTCTTGTCTAATTATTAGCTAACCACTAACTAAATCAAATAAAGAGGTCAGTAATCACATAAGACAAAGAGTACATATTCCAGAATTGGTTCAGAAGCAATTCCGAACAGCAGGACCAAAAACCCCAGGAGAAAGAGAAAAACATGATTTCAACAATTGCTACATTATGTAAAATGTCCAATTTTCAATAAAAGTTTGAAAGATAATAGTCTGGGTGATACAAGGGGAAAAAGTCAATAGAAACTGTTAAATAATATTCAGAATTCCTGAGGCAGAAAAAAGATGGCAGACTGACAGATCCAGGAGTCATCACTTCCTTCACAAAACACATTTAGAGCAGAGCTGGGGAAATAAAGGTCAATGCTCACACAGGAAACAAAAGGAATCATTGGAAAAAGTAGATCAGAATGAGAATAGTGTATCAATAATTATGCCAAGACCCTTCCAGGTTGTGTTTTCCTGCAGGCACCCAGCCTGTGGCCACAGAGTGCAATCTCTTTGCTCTTAAGTTTTCCCTGCTGAACAAGGGGCATCCAGGTAGCATGGGCATCCAGGTAGCATGTGACTGGTTTCAGTAGTAGAAAAATATTCACCTACCCACATGGAATTTCTGTGCTACAATGTAGTTAGAATGTACAACCAGAGTGTAAATCACTCCAGGGAGCACACTCTACAGAACAAAGGGCTCTTAGAGTATCTGTGTGTGACAGGGGAAGTTGGCAGAGGTCACTAATGCTTCCCTACTATAGCCTCCTAGGGAGATCACAGGGTGTTGGGAAGCTTCCACAGAAATGCAGCAAAATAAACACAGAGCACCCATGCTATCTGTGACTGGGTTTGGGATTTGGAAGAGGCATTTGCCTCTCAGTGACCTCTCTAGGACTTCTCCATAGCTTTAACCTTATGTAGCAAAAGTGCAGGACATGTGGGAGATCACAGCCTGCTGAGCAAGGGACACTCAGGCTACTCAGCCTCGGTGGTCAGAAGAAACCATCTCTCCAATATGCAAACTCTGGGCTTCTTTTCAGCTCCCAGCTTGTGCAGTACAAGACTCACCAAGAGAACACCCTACTGGACAAAAAGCACACATGAGACTAAATCCAGCAGTCCAAAAAGCACTAGTTAGGTCCTGGTTTGGTTCTGGCACGTCCTCTTGACAGTGCAAACACTACAGTCTAAAGTTATTCACGGTGCCTGCCTGGGGCAGGAGCCCACAACTTATGTCCCCACCTTCCCATGAGCCTCAGGGGAAAGGCACAACCTGCCAAACTTGCAAAATTGAATTAGGCTGCAGCCAAAGGGTTAGCTGCAGGCTGGAGCACCACTGAGGTGTTCTGCTTTGCTCACCCTTGACCAGAAAGTGAATACATTATCACTCCCTCAAGCAGCTATAGCACTGAAAGAGTCATATGCCCGTGGCAATCTGCAGCAGCCTCCATACACCTGCATTGCCAGAGCACACAGCAAAGGCTAGACTCTGGGAGCTCCACCCCAAACTGACTCATGCCCTCCAACATCCCAAATGAAGACATAACTTGAACAGTACAACAGAAAGCACAAAAGCCAAGGCCAACACCAATTAACTAAATACCTGTGACTCAAAATTCTAACTCAAGACAGTTAAAAGACTGGAAAGGAAAGCAAGTCTAGTTTATTTCATAGAAACCATCACAAAGTACCGAATGATGAAATCATCCTAATCACTGAGATACGACAAAACCCAGGTTAAAAATATAAAAAGCGACTTCAACAGATCTAAACACTTTCAGGAGAATTCAGAGCAGCAATATTAGTGGTGATTCTTACTAAAATTAAGAGAACGATGCATGATAAAAATCAAAATACATGACAGAAAAAAATATGAAAAGTTCAAAACAGAAGTGACAGAGTTGAAATGAGAAATACAATAGGGCTAAGGGGCAAATCAGTGGGACAGAGAATAGGCTAGTGGAAATCATCCTAAAAGATCAGCAAAAAGCATAAAAAAAAAAATGAAGGAAACATAAGAGACATGAGAAAGCATCAAAAGGAGCAACCTATTCAAAGGGATTCCAGAAGAGGAAGAAAAAGGGCAGATATCTGATTTGAAGAAAGAATAGCTGAGCCCATCCCCAAAGCAGAGAAGAAAGACACTCAGGAAGCTCAAAGAATCCCATACAATACATACAATATAAACCTATTCAGATGTATATCAACACATATAATTAAAATAGCAAAAATTTAGGATAAAGTATCCTAAAAGCAACCCAAGAAAAATAGTCTACATATAAAGGAATACCATAAGAATATCACCAGATTTCTCAGCAGAATCTTACAGCCAAAAAAGGAGTGCCATGATGTATTCAAAGATCTGAAAGAATAACTCAAACCAAGAATCTACTACCCAGCTAGGCTACTGCTCAAAATCTAAGAAGTGGTGAATAGCTTTACAGGTCAATAGTTAAAGGAATTCATCTCTCTAAACCAGCACTGAATGTATTAAAGGGGTTTAAAAAAAAATGGGGGAAAAGAAACCCAACACTTCAAATAAGGCTGCAAAAGCAATAAGTACAGAGGGGAGGAGAGTAAAAATTGAAAAGTACCTAAAGAAGAGAGTAAGTGGAATGTGAACACTATACAAAAGGCAGCTTTCAAAATACAATGGAGGAGAATAAGAGAACAAAGAGACAAAAACAGGAACACATCCAGAAAATAAGCAGTAAAATGGCAATAAATATCTTGCTTAAAGTTAATGACCTGAACTGATCAGCTTTAGGGCACAGTGGCTTGACAGTCTCCTGTACAACGACTTGAGCTCTAAAGATAAATGCAGGCTCTAATTAACAAGTTGGAAAACAATTCTTCAAGCAAATGGATCCCAAAAGAAAAATAGAAAGTAGACTGTAAAAGTGAAGCAACCAGGAAGGAACATGAATAGAAGAGAGCAACAGGAAGGAATAGAATATGGCAGAGGATTATGGGTGTTTTTCTGTAGTGTAACATACATCTGAAGAGGTATGAACCTATACTCTCAAATTATATACAAAGTTGTGAATGATACCTCAGTAAATAAAGTTAATTAAAAGATACAGAACTATCAGGAAGAGAGTTTAAATAAGCTATTTAAATATGTCTATAAACTAAAAGAAATTATATGTAAAAACTCAAAAGTATGAGAATACAGTTAGTATTCATCCCTTTTCATTATTCAGTACTATTATATATTCTGAATTAGGTCTATTAATGGGTTATTTGAATTAGGTCTATTGATGGGTTATTTCAAGTTGAAATTAAGATTATTGTTGATCTTACCATTACTATATTACATCTAAAAGATTTAATACCATAGCTCTTATTAATGTACCTCTTATCACCACAGCTTCATCAGTATAGAGGTAGTCCAAAATAACTTTTAATATGTCAGAATGTATTGGCATTTCCAGAGATGCACAACTGGAAGCCTAAAAAAGTGAAGTGAAATAATTGATTGTAAACAACATATTATTATTAGATTCAGATTTAAGTTGCTAGTATACAAAACTATTGAACAGTAATCAAATATAAAAGAGTATCAAACTTATAACATGAAATAGGAACAAGAATGCAGAAGACTCCCAATACATGGCCAAATAGTAACAGGAAATTTTGAATTAAGTAACTTCTATACAACATTTATTTCTAAGTGTTGCTACTTTCTAGGAGACTTAAATGACAATAAAGAGAAACTAAGTTAAAATATTAGCTTCCCGTTTTTAATTTCTTTACTATAAATATCCCCCCAAAAAATGTGTGGCTATAGCTAATGTGGCTGATAAAAATCTTACCTCAATCCATGAGCTACTTAGCATACTATGAAAATATTCTGAAAGAAAAAAAAAGTTCAACTCAGTAAGAACTGCATAGTGAAACAGTAATAAGTCAGCAACTAATAAAAATAATACCTACCAAGTCTTGCACAAAGAACACACTTATGACAAGGAAATTCCTTCCCATCCACTGATTTCATGTTTACATCACACAGAAATGAACTGCAAAAAAAAAAAAAAAAAAAATTGAAGCTTTATAGAATTTGGCTTACCTTTGATTTTCTTAATTAGAAATACTCATCTCCCACTATTTTAGGAAAGATAAGGGCCTTACAACAAAGACAACATTTGAAAAGGGAACTGAATATAAATTTTTTAAAAGTTCCTACTATTTCTCAATTCAGGCCAAGTGCTAATAAAACAGTAAGTGACAACATGGTCACAAACTTTTTAATTCACTTATCTGTAAACCTTATTGTTTTAAGCATAATGTAGAATGGCAGTTTAGTTTTTCAAAAACTTTTCACCTACAAAGTAAATACCTAAAACCAAAAACTTAACATTTAATATCAAATGTATTTTCATTATCTAATAAGGAAATCATAATAATGAAAAGGCACACTAAATTTGGTTAACATTTCCTATTTTATAACAAGATACAGAAATCAGATGAGAAAAAAATCAGAATTTGAAATTCTTTCTTCAATTAAGAAGTAATCAGAAACTACACTTTAGTATCTTATTCATTTATTTCATCAAATCTCCGTATTTACAGAAATGTAGAAAAGTTAAAAAGTTATCTATCTATACATTTTGCTTCACATGTTGAATATGAAGGATTCTATTTCCACACCTAGCTTCCAAAATCTAGAGATGAAAGTTTATCCTCATTTCCTAACTTACCATTTTTTCTGATTTAGCTTCGGTTTAGTACCAGGTTTCTTGGCAATAACATTAATTTTTTCATTTTCAAATCTGACTCCATCTAACCTATAAAGAACAAACAAAAATTGGTGAATATAGTCCCTGATCTACAATGAAAACTGAACAAATTAGTTTATATCTGGACATAATTTATATCACCTATAAGGTATCTCTGTGAATCCCTTCTCTGTGATAAAACATACATTCACATTCACTCTTTTAGAATTTAAAATATATTAAATATTGACAAAAACCAAATCAAAGCCATGTACCAAGCCCTCCATTGCTTTTATTTGTTTTTTTAAAAAGCTGTATTTTTTTATGCATACAGAGCTGGGGTGTAGGCCAGAGGGTGCAGGGAGGTGAGAGAGACAGAATGGGGAGCAGAAAAAGACTTATTTACTGAAATACACTGCTGCGAGCAGCATTGGGTGAGACAGGAGAGGTCTGCTGTTTGATCCTAAACTCTGGCTACCATAGCTAGTGATAGCTTCATAGTGCCGAGACTTAACCCTTTGCGCCAGCGCCACCAGGGAGGCACCACTCTCTATTGATTTTAAGTAGAAAACATGATATACATTTCTCCCCTGTTCTCATCCACATCTAAAGTTATTCTGTCATAAGCAACATAAATAGGTTAAAAAATAATTCCAAAGAATCTAGTTTATAATCTGACAAATATGTCGGTCACTTTACAGATGCTATATGGTAACAATATATGGTCAATATTTTACCTCCCATTTTGCACATAAACTCAAAGAATCTAGGAAATCTGTTTAGCAGGTAATATAGTACAGCTAGCAGGTATATACAGATTTATCCTAATCCAAACCCACTACACTTTTCAGCACAAAAGCTGCCACTCCAAACACCTCCAGAAAGTTCAAACCCACTAACAACCTTCCCATTCTTTAAAGTTGTAGTTGAATGCATTCTAAAGAGACAGCGTTTGCAGAAAAAGAGAAAGAACTCATCCACATACATTTCCAAAAAAGGGATGAAGGGAGAAATAAAGAATGAAGGGGGAAAGAAAAGAGGATTAAACAAAGAATTTTAAAATATGGATATATTACGATACAGAAAACAGATTATTAAGGTGAAACCATACCTACTACTCAAATTATTGAAACCAAATTTCTTTGCAACATTTTGCAGCATTCTTATAGGATCATCTTCCCCAACATTTTTCCCTTTTTTGGAAGGCTTAAGTTTACTTTTCTGCATTTCACTAATTTTATTAGCTTGATTACTTCTGTAAACTTCAAAAGCTGACTTCTGATTTTCTTCATGGTAATTCATTTTATTCAAATGAGAATTTGGAGAACCCTGATGTTCTTCTGATTTTTTGTTCAAGTTTATCCTTGGTTTGAAGCCATGCGTTAAAATGTCACAAGTATCTGTGTATATAAATTGTAAAAGGTATTCAAACATATCAGGATGAACCTTTTCTACTACAAAGAGATGGCATCCTGCAGAATCTTCATCTTTCCGGTAAACATCTGTAAAGTCTAAAGTAGCATTATCTGAAAGAAATAATTTCTGAAAAAAGTCAGAACGCATTGCCAAAATATATTTATGTGCAGGAAAAATTCTATTGCCAACTTGAAATGTCACATCATGGATGTTGTCCATTTCATCTGTTTCCTTTAACAGTTTGCCAAACTCTTCAAAAAAAGATGATGATGACACAGCTGGAATTTCATAAAGGCTAGAAATGATGAAACAAAAATAATTTTCACTTTCAATAAAATGAAAACAAACAACAAAAGCATCCCTAGTCAACTCTACTTTGAAAGTACAATTTCTCTTTTTATTAAAATTAGAAAATTTTAAATTTGGTAATTCCTAAAAGAACATTAGACATAATCTTACTGTATCATATTCCAATTTTTTCTATTCCTTTTTAAATTTATTTTTTTTCCAAATTTAAATTATAAGAACTAAGTTTTCCTTTGAAAGTAATATCTCTATTTCTACAGAAAATGCTAAATATTCAAATTACTTTTATAGATTTTTTATTTTATAGCTAAAAATATTCTTAAAAAACTACAATTCTCAAACTTTTTCTCTTTTACATTTTTTACAAAGAAGAAAAATATAGTGTCCAAATATTTCAGGTCCCAGATCCCAAAACTGGTCAACTCAAGGGTCACGGATTAACTCAAAATAGAAACTCCAGTATATAAAGGTAAATACACAAATATACAATCAGGTTATGGACTGATTGTTTCAGTAGTGTAGAAATGAGATCACACCTTCCCCAGCTGTATTTCTAGATATGGTAACCAATCTTTCTGGTTTGCCTAAGATTGAAGAGAAGAGATTTTTAATGCTCAAAGTGAGACAGACTTGGGCAATACAGGATTGATGGTCACCCTACTTCTTCCTCTTTAATAGCACCCTTGATGTTTAACTTAATCTGTAATGTCTCTAATGAAATTTAGGAAGTTTGCATTAGAATTCCTACTGCCCAACAGGTGACTGACTCTACATCACCTACCACTTCAACACTTTCAATAAACATTAGTTTGCAAATCAAATAGAACATGCATCATTTCCAGTATTACAAATTCTACCTGAGTTACCCAGGAACATGTTTATTTGTCTAAAGTCTCTACATTATGACAGCTCTTCAATTAAAAATTGCTCCACAATCTACTGAAAACAAAAGAAGATGCAGTAAATGTTACTGCTAAAAATGAAATTAAATACATGTAAGTATACCTTGTTTTAGGGTCTGATTGCAGGATTGCAAAGTTGCATCCACTTGGATCTGTGCTGACACTAACAGCTCGATGGGCAAAAGTAAGTTTCTCAAGTCGAATTCTTTCATACGCATTATTTGTATCAGAGATACAAGACACATCTGATGAAGAATTATGAAGGTTTGATAAAATCTCTGCTAAAAAGAAATTAAAAACTCCAGTTAATCAAGGTTTTACTAAAGCACAAATACTTTAGAATTAAATGTAATAAAAAAAAAATAGGGAACTATGCCTTATATGTATCAAGTTCTTTGAAGAACTACATCTTCAACACAATTTGCAATCTATACATATAGTTTATATTATAGGGGAAATTGTGGTGGGTTAATTCTCAATTATCCATTTAACCCTCTCAAACACACTCTTCCCCCAGTTATCTTCCTAAAAAACAAATCTAGTATTACAGGTGCTCAAAATACTTCAGTTTGCATTAAAAAATTGTAAGCTAAGTATCTTCCTGTCTATTCCCTCCCGCCTTTCATTTATTCAGCAAATATTTGTGACCACACTCTGCTACATGATACAGTGATCACCAGTCTATCGCTAGTAACACTACAATAGGTGAAGAAGGTAAATATTCCCTATGTTCTTGGAATATACAATTGAGCATAAAAGACAGATATTAAACAAATGATTTATATCATTTTAAGTCAGAGCAAGGCTATCAAAGTGTAGAGATCCTTTAGGAGAATATTTAATACACCTCTTTCCAAAAGATGTGACTGAAGTGATAGCAATATAAATAGATAACAAGGTAAATTTTTCAGAAGTATTTGAAATAGAAGTAACAAAACTTCTTGGTTGACTAGATGTAGGGGGTCAAAGAATACATTAAATCAACTAGTGCACTGGTGGTTCAGCGGTAGAATACATGAAATCAAAAATAAGCATTTACTTGGTGGAAAATGCTGAAAAAGCGTTATGGGTTCATGACAGTATGAATTTAAGTCAAACCATTATAGATGATTTAAGACTAATAAGGACATCCAACATTTATATTGAGCTTGCTTGCGGTTTAGTCTCTCAAATTTACTCATTCTTAGAGGTTTTACTAATTTTCACAGCACTCAGTTATTCCAATTTCTATGTTTTCAAAAACCTTAGGTGCCAAAACAGTTTTGTCACCATGAACTATAAATAATTATTTACGGTCACTCCTTTGTGGCTTTATGATTTTGAAAATGTTTAGTTTTCTGAGTATTTGTAAATGTTCTTCATATATACTTTTAGCATATAATACTGATTTATTCATACAACAGATGACTCGGTGAGGTACTATTATATGCCAGGAAATACCAGATGCTAAGGATATAGTATAAGAGTCATGGCCATTGACATAGTCTAATTCAAAACAAGCATTAAAAAATTTAATTACAATAATAAAACGAACAATGTATTTAATAGATAGAAATACATTATATGATGAAAATACAAAAGTAAGCTTATATGTGAAAATTAGGGGAAGATTCTGGAACTAATCATAACTACACAAGAGTAAGAATCTGAAGGTCAATGTGGCTGAAACTGGTAATAAAAGGTGAGTTAATATTTTCACGAAGTGAGTTAATATTTTCACTGTCTATAAGTGTCAGAGCATGGACCTTATAAACAGTATTAACGAAGTGAGAAAACTATGAAAGAGTTTTTTAAACACAGGAATGCTGTGATGAGGTCTTAAAAGCTCACTGGTAATCAGTTGACAATAGATTAAAATGAATCATGAGTGGAAATAAAACTTTTTTGGCAGTAGTTCACATAGCTTGGACTAAGGTATGAGCAATCAGATGAAAAGAATTAAATGTATTCTAGTTTTACTGGAAAAAAAAAAACTGAACAGGTAACTAATTATGAATGGCAGGGGGAAAATGTGCCTGCAAATTAAAACATGTAAACACAAGTTACAAATTTATAACTAGACAATTTAAAATTAACTATATAGTAATTTCTATTTTGAAAAGTGGTTTAATTAAACTAGCCTTTATTCATCAAGGAATAAAATGTTTCTAATTATTCAGCAATTGATTAATAAAACTACTTGTACTTTTAAAAATTCTTAACATTAAACTAGTAACACCTGTCAATTGAACATAATACTTGTAAAACTGAAATTTACTGAAAAGTACTTTTACTGTCATTCACATAAATGAACTGACCTTTCTTTTCAGAATTTTTTCTTTTTTCTTCAAACCACTTCCCTCTAAATCCTTCTCCATCCTGTGTGACAAACAGAACTTCATTTCTATTTAAAGCAATATCAGAAATGAAGACTTGGCGGGGATAGGCCCATCGACACTGCTTCAGGGAAGTGCTAACAGATTTCCAGCAAAATACCTAAAATAAAACCAAACAGCACTGGAATACAACAATATAGTATCTGAACCACCAACAACTGAAATAAAAAACTGAAATCAAGCAACACCTTCGAAATGAAAGCTCTGATAAATACATTTCTTTTTCCACTGGGAAAAAATAGTGTAAATGATGATTTTAAAGAACTAAAATATGAAGCATTAAAATGCTTCAAAGAGACTATTCAGAAGTAACTGTCAATAGCATGTGTTTGGAACAAACAGATCTGTAATGCAAATGAAAAAGAAAAATCTTAAAGTTAAAACTGGATGTCAGACTTGTATCACCATCTTTATTAAAGAACAATGATAAAAATCAGCCCACAGAAAAGCCAAACTTCACTCTCCTTGAAAAAAAGGAATGAATGCATAACTTAATTATGAAACTGAAAAGAATTATCAGGGACAGAAAAATAACTCAAATTTCAATGGCTTCTGAGTGATTCTACAAACCTTACTCTTCCTGAGAAATGGTTCAGGAAGATGGTATTTAGTGAGACACAATGATGAGAGATGGAGTGCTGGGCTTCCCAATCCAGATTTATGTATCAGCATTGTAAATTTCATATGAAAAAATCAGTATGCCAATGAAGTGTTCAATTCCCTCATAATTAAGAAAACAAACACACAAAGTACTACTATCTATCGCCGTGATTCAAAGCTTATGTACAGGTCCTCCCTGGTGGCCTTGGGAAGTAGTTTCAGCATTATACCTGAAATCCTGAGTTTGATCCCCTGGCCAGGACGCTAACCTACATATGGTGCAGCAGAGCTCTGTTTCTTCCACTGCTCCCGTTAGCACTATATTTCAAATAAATCTGCCTGTTCTGCTCCCTACTCAGTCTCTGGTGTGTCCTCTCATCCCCCGTATCTCTGGCCTATATCCCAGTTCTACACAATAACAAAAAATGTTATGTACACACAAAAAGGCTGTATTGACTGATTCCTTAGAGCTTAGATTCCATACATCTAATCTGTGGAAAGTAAATACCCAGAGGTATAAATTAGATTCTTATTAATATAATCCTTATTCATATAAATGAAACACATCTCAAATTTTTTATGCTCAACGTTTTAAAGTAATCCCATGCCTTTGTTTCATTCCATTAGTACAAACGAAAGTTCTAATTCTAAAATATAGCTTCCTCTATTAAAATTATCAACTATAGTAGATTTATAGATAATACACCATAAATCTACTAGGTAAGTGGAATTTCATGAATAATTCAATTTCTAAGATATTAAACTTTGTAGCAGTACATAAACCTCAGGAAACATTCTTGTTTTCATTCCATAGTGTAAATTTTTTTCACTGTCATTAATGCATAAAACATACTTTTAAATTCACTATCTTAGAGAAATGAACTGATGCTGGCACAGGAAACTGAAATTAAAACTAAATGAAATTATTTTTTTGTCTTAGACACTGTTTTTTATAGACATATAATTATGTATAGTTACTTCTGCATATGTGAATATTTGTGTAAAAATAAATGAGGGGACTGTTTTGATTACACATGAATGTTTAATATTGCTGCCTAGTTTTTTTCTTTTTTAAAAATGGTAGTTATGTATTTATTTATGCAATTTAATATTATTATTGTCAAGTGTCATCAAATAAGCCATTAAAATCCCCTATTTCCATTTTAAGCTCGTAAATGAAACTTTAAACTATAGTTCAACAAAAAGCAATATGCAACATTAGATTTACTGTAACTTTTTGAAATACTAGTTCCTTTCTAATTAGAACTGATGTCAAAAACAAGTAGGCAAACTAAATCAATACAAAGAGTCACATCACATTGTTAGATTATCAGGTTTCCTGAAGCTGTCAACTGAGAACAAGGTCATTACACTTTTGCATATTAACTTACCCTACCAGCTCCATCCATGGCAAGAATGCAAATTTTTTGACCCCCATTTTCTTTCAAATGTTCAGGATCAACTTTGTATTCCATACATCCCCCAGAAACAAGAACTTTTTTCAAGTTTAGTTGTCTGGGTGATAAAGAAAATGCTAGATTAATATGGTTTCTAAAATGCATATGCTAAACTTATTTTCTTTCCCTATTTGCTTTTATCTATTTTTGGTAAAAATAGATCCACATGAACATAGAAATTTTAATGTCAATTTAAGTCCCCAATTGCTTTTAAAGTTAGATAACTATTCTCTAGAATTTTTGTACATGTCACTGTTCCCAATAATCACACTATAATTGATTACAGTAGCAGGAATCACTGTGTACAAATATCTGTATCTTTATTCATATTTATTACTACATTTAAAATGAAATAAGCCAGTGAAATAGTCTTAAAAGGATAATTTCTATAAAGGTTAAATAGTTTGGAATAACACAATGAGTAGCAAAAAACTTATTAAATCAGAATGAAGTAATCAACTCTAAGAGTGCAAATGTATGAAAAATGTGATTATGTACTTCTCACAAATGTTTTTTAAGAACTTAAAACAATACTTAACTTTGAACTCCTTAAAATTGTTCAAAATTAACAGGTGCCACATTTTAAGTTTGGTTTCACATAAAATTCAGAACTTATCAATCAATACTTCCTGATTAGCCAGTTTATTGCATGCTACTATGACATGCTTTCATATAATGGGCTACGCAAAACCAAAGATAAAAAGTATCCCATTTGATATATGTACAATGGCAGCTTTTTTTTTAATGAGTCAGTGCATAGCAAAAAACACCACATATAAGCCAGTGATAGTATTGTCACAAAATAACGAAGATGAATTGCAGTTCATCACAGAAGTGCATCTGAAGCAAAAAAGAAAACATAAGGTCCCATTTAACCACTTGTTAAACCTAATTTAGAAATTGTGTTGTACAACCTACTTTTATCACTGGATACTTGCTAAAAAATTACCATCATCAAAGCCAAAAATTCCTGACTTCCCCTATTCAAAAAGTGCTATTTTAGAGCATAGTATAAAGTTGCTATTCAGATTATTTGCTAGAAGAGTTGAACAATTATTAAAGTTATCTTTCACAAAAGTAGACCTACTTAGAAGCAATCTTCTTGCACTGATAGTCTGCAAGTAAGTAAATATCTCCCCTTGTGGTAACACAGATGGTGGCGCCATCACTTGCAGCAACCAAAGAGAGAGCAATGTCCTTATGATGAAGAGCAGAAACTTGACGAGGCACAGTTACACACTTTTCTCCATTGGGATCTAGCAAATAACCTAAAAAATTACACAAGTAAACAAATCACAAAATATCCATTTTAAGAATCTTATTTTTCAGATATATATAGTCATCAATGATTTCTTACCCAGTTGGCCACCATTAAGTCCCATAGTGTAAACAGCTTCTTTAGTCCATAGTACTGTATGAAATCTGCCTGCTGCTACTCCGGTGATTATCCTTCCTTTCAGGTATTTTGCCTGAATCTATTCATAAGGAGAAAGGAGGCTATAGTTTAATGACACAAGCTATGCAACATCCATCATCTGACAGATTCCGGGTGGATCAGGATAAGTTCTGAAAAATCAGACTGTCCATTGCTAACTTATGACCTCCCTTTTTTGAATAAACATAATATCAAAATATTCTGAGCAATATTCAGTTTACAACTGGATTGACTTAGCTGCAAAAGGCAGCTGCTGGTTCAGGCAAGCTGCCCTAGGATGAGAAATTCCTCTGTCTCCTGAGACAAAAGCCAAGCCCCAGGACAAATAAGACCCCCCAGGACATAAAAAAACTCCTGGGAAGCTTCGTGGGTTTCTTTGAATAAAAAATAACTTCAGATAAGGCTCCCAGGGCATAAGGACTCATGGACAAATTTTAACCTTGACTACACAGGTGTTGTTTGATATGCAACTATACAACTTTCTTTTAATTTACTCCCTTTTAAAGCAAGCACTAACTACTCTCTGATAGCCTCAAATTACCCATTAGCTTTTCCACTGATAACACTGCTAACACAATTTATTACTATCCCAAGACCCCTAACAATCTTTTGCTAACAAGCTCACCCTTTTCCAGACCCCTCTTCCTCTGATGATAACTAGACAGCTGTATATATGATAATTGTCGCAAAAACGTATAATTTAGCATACCATAAACTGTAAACAGAAGAATGCTTCTTCCCCTTGTCCTTGAGAATGTTTTATGGAGATCTCATTAACTTACCCTATACATTATTACAATTAACTACTTGCTACACAGTATAAATAAAGACCTGCTGAAGGGATAGCAGGAAGACTTGCACCCTATCCTGACTCCTGTGTCTTCCTCGCACCCGCTCCTGTCTCCCCTTTTGGAATATACGCTCGCCGACGCCTTCCCATCTTAGGGTCCTGCCTGTGTTGCCTCCAGACACCTCAAAAGTTGGAGCAAGTCTCCAACAGTTTAACTATATAACTATGAAACAGCACAACTTTGCCAAATCCAATAGACCTGGGAATAATAAGTATATGGCAGAATTACAGTTAGTGCCCCCCCTCTACTGGCAGTCTTCACTAATAGATCGCAACATTAATACTGACACCTCAACTCTTCTTAGGACACTTTAAGTCAACAATTTTAACATAAAGCTACTTCAGCATGAGTTCAATCCCCGCCAGCCCCAGAGGGGATCCACATGGCATAGTAAACCTCTCCTGAACCATCTGCTGCTCCCCTCAGCATTGTACTTCACTGATCTGCCTATTCTGCTCCCCACTCTGTCTCTGGAGAATCTTCTCACCACCCGCTGTGCCTCTGGCCTGTACCCAAGTTCTGTATGCATAAATAAATCTTAAATCATGTCACTTTTAATAACAAATTAGGCATTCATTCTTAATTGAAAAAGCAGTATATTTCAAATTTGACATATCCAGGGTCACTCATCAGTGATATGATTAACGCTTGGTCCAGATGATTCTTTATTGTAGAGAACCATTTAATGCATTCCCTGGACTCTATTACTAGATCCCACTCCCAACCCTAGTCCCCCTCTCCAAATTGAAACAGCTAAAAATCTCTCTGGACATTGCCAAATGGCTGGGTTTGGGGGAGCTGGAGAGGCACTGCTCCCGACTGAGAATATTAAACATGTCCGTATCAACCCAGAGCTCCAAAGTGATGATATAATGAGAATTAAAAAATAAAAATAAAATCTATCAATACTAAAGTCTAAAAAATTATTAACCACAAATTCCATAGTTGATTAGAGAAAAAATATTTTCTAAAAACAATCACAAATTAGAGACTAATTCCTCTAAAGTCATTAGTCATTTAGACTGGTAAAATACTGGAGCTAGATGTTCATTACAAAAAAATAGAAATCTAATAATAATCTTAAATCCCAAGCATTAAATCAGTAAAGACGTAAGTATCTGAAACACAAGGTTTTATGTGCTGAAACATGTTACGGATAATCTAGAAATTCTAGTAACATTTATTTAGCACCAATCCCTGTTCTGGGAATTAGCAGTCCTTAAAATCCTTAAAGCACACATCTTTTTGTGGTTGTGCAAATAGAAAGAAAAATGTCAAAGAACAGTGGCTTTTTGGTCTAGTTCTCCTCATAGAAACTCGCATGGTATGACTTGTGTGCCAAAGCAGACTTATCATGAAACTGGTAAGCTTAGCCACTACTGGCTATCTCATTTAGAAAGCCCATTTTTTTTTATTTATAAACTTATTTTTTTTCTTAAGGAGGAACTCAAAATTAAAGTTTCAAAATTAAGTTCTTCAAAATTACCTTCTACTTAGGAATATTTAAAAGCTGAATCTAAAGCAATTTGATGCCTAATTTCCCAACTGATTTGTCACTCTATGCAAATCCAGTATGTTATATGATTATTTCTCCTGAAGAAATACATACCATTGACTCTAAGTAGAAACATTTGCTCTGTCAATGTCTTCCATCTTCTTTATTAATTTTCTAGCCAATAGTCACCTTAGTGTTTAAAAAAAAAAAAATTACCTGTCTGGGTACATTACAACTGGAAGGTGGAGGAATAATTCCTAACTGATGAAAAATATTTAGACCAAATGTATAGACACATCCATCATCAGTTAATACAACAGTATGATCCTTAGCAGCTGCTACTTGGCAACAATTATGGCCACTCAGTCCTTCCACGAGCCTAGGGACCTACAAAATAAAATTAACTTTAATACAATAAACATTTCAACATGAACTTTGGGCCCTATATACCTAGCTACAATCTGTTGGTGTGAATAAAGAAAATTCTGCAGCCAAGGTACTCATTAATGTGATAGTAACCAAATAGCAATATAAAATATATTCCTTTGAAGATATTGCCCCTGAATTCAAAACCTAATTCTGTCACTTATTAGCCATTTGACCTCAACTGATTATTTTTTATTATTTATTTTCCTATGTTATTGTTAATTTTTAGATGGTATTTGATTTTTATTTCTCTCCTTAGGTGTAGTCTCCATCATTCTCATACCACCACTGTACTGTACCTGACCCATCACCATAGTTCCCTGCACTCTTCTCTCCCCTGTTTTGACCCCTTTCTATTCCCCCTCCCCTGCTATGTGCTCCAGAGCTATGGTCAGCTTAAAAATTCTGTCTTTTTCCTAACCATCTGATCAATTTCTCTGTATTTTGCATGTAAGTGAAATCATCTAATATTTATTTTTTTCCTGCTGACTTACTTCGATTAGCATAATCCCAGCTCCATCCACACTGCCTCAAATGGCATGAGCTTATTCTTTTTGATTGCTAAATAATATTCCACGTGAATACAGACACATACGATAATATATCTTCTTAAAACTCATCTGTTTTGGGCATTTAGGTTGTTTACATATCTTAACTATTATATATAGTATTGTAAGAAACATAGGAGTTCAGGTTTTCTTTCAAATTAGTGTTTTGTGTTCTTTGGGTAGATTCCTAGGAGTGGATCCCTGGATCATATGGTAGATCCATTTTTGGTATTCTGAGGAACTGTCACACAGCTTTCCACCGTGGCTGGATCATTTATACTGAATACTCCCACCAACAGTGTAAGTCAGATCCTTTTTTTACCACATACTTACAAGCATTTGGTCTTTCTAATTTTTTTTAATATGAGTCATTCTCACAGGTATGAGGTATCTTACTGTGGCTCTGATTTGCATTTCCCTGATAATAAGTCAATCAAATTTCTTAACTTACCTTTGCCTTTTGCTTCATGTGAAGATAAAATAACAGTATTTTAGATAATAAGACAGATGACAGGAGTAAATTGGTAAGTATAAAACAGTCTCTGACATAGAGTGAGCAATCAATGAATGACTGCTACTATTGTCATTGCATACAAAAAAAAAGGAGAATAAATGCCTATCACTTAACAGGGGTACTGTGAGACCTAAGTTAAAGTAATGACAGTACATGAAAAGAATAAACATCTGAAACAATGAAACCTCAAAAAATAGGAGCTATTGTAGCTTAAAGTGCCCGTTGATGATAAATACATCTGTACTCCCTTCAAAAGTGTTTTTACCTTAGAAAACTGAGGCAATTTTTCTCTACGTAATGATTAAGTCTGTTCCCATTAGCATTAAATTTTAGTCACAATCAATTTTGTGAATAAAAAATAAAAATATTGGCTCAATATTTGATAAAGTTAAAAATAAAAATTTGGACTTCATCAGAAAGAGGGTTTTTATAATTGCTAGAAGCAAAATAAAGTTTTTCTTTGATGCTATTAAATTTTTGTATTGTGATTAAAACCTTAATTTGAACGTATGTCAAAAAAGCAATCAATTCTTTAAAAATCTATTGACTGGGCCCTCCCTGGTGGCGCAGCGGGTAAAGCACAGCACAAAGAAGCTTAAGCCACTTCTGCATGAGTTCGATCTCTGCCTGCCCGGGAGGAGATCCACATGGCGGAGGCAGACCTCTCCTGACCTGCCCACTGCTCCCCTCAGCAGTGTACTTCATCGATCTGCCTGTTCTGTGCCCCACTCTGTCTTTGGTGAATCCTCTCACCTTCCGCATCTCTGGCCTGTATCCCAGTTCTGTACAAATAAATAAATCTTTTTAAAAAAAAAATCTATCGACTAATATTTTCTCCTTATACTTGGTTAAGGAAAAAGTGATTTTGTTACCTAAAGCTCCAGTTTATCACACTTTTATTTAAGTTACTTAGGTTATATAATGGGGTTTTAATTACCAAGCATGTCTGTTCATCTCCATGGCCTAAACGGCCTCCAGGCCCATGACCACAGGTATAAACCTGTCCTTTCTGAGACAGAAACACTGAGTGAAATTTACAAAGCACCACCTGAGAAAAAAGCAAGAGAATACTATTAGATTTCTCCTAACACAATATCTTTTATTAAAAAAAAAAAGAACAGAATATTGCCATTTATTTTCAATGGAAGATGATTATGTGGGAATTCACCATGCTTTCTACTTACACATATTTAAGATTTTCTGTAATAAAATTAAGTATATGCTTTATTTTAAATCTGTCTAAAAACATTGACATATGGCAAAAATTAAAAAATCAAGGTACTATGTGTTAACACAGAAGACTAAATTAGACTATAAAACTGGTAGCCAGTCCAATACCTTAAAATCCTTAAGAATAACAATTAGCACAGTATCACAAAGGACACAAATATTACCAACATGTTATTCACCATAACTATAAATACCTTAAGAGTATTTTTTTAGTGACATCACCTATATGTGGGTAATGGGGATATATACTGACTAATCAGCAATGTCTACCAAAGCCTCTACACAAGTCAGAGTGGGAGCAACACATACAATTGCCAGCCCTGCACTATCTGCTCACCATGCCGCTTGGCTTGCTCACATTCATGAAAGGCTGAAACCAGGCTTATCACTCCTGTCCACCCTAAGTTCTTTTACTATCCCAATTTCCTTCCAGGTCTATTTAGATGGCTCACCAGAATCTTAGATTTCATGGCACAACTCTACAAATTACAACTCTAGTCTTCACTCTTATATGGTTCTTATTCCTGATCTCTCCATATTTAACATTCACTAGACTTCAATTCTTCTATTTCATTTTTTTTTTAAGTTGCTAGTTTTGCTATATATTAGGTATGGCTTTTGTTATTAAAAAATAAAAAAAAGCAGTAGTATTCAAGGGACCCTTAAATACAGCTCCCTAAATATATGGTATATAACTTTCACTGAAGTATTTTTGAGATAAAAAGGGAAATAATCAGAAACTGAAATTTACATCTTGAAGTAGAGAAAATTTAGAAGTAGCAAAATTCACACTTTATACATGTTAAATTTAAATGCTCTAAATATATCCAGAGTACAACTGAAAGAAATGTTGAGGTAGAGATATAAATTACACACATTTGTGCACATACAGAAATATAAAGCTGTCAACAGTTAACAAAATCCATGGAAATAGAAGATACTATCCAGCACAGTAATACAACATTGAAGACCAAATCTTATCTTTACAAACTCAAGTTCATTTATCTGAAGGTAGTAATACTGAGTAACCACAACAAATTCACTTGAAAAACAACTTGAAGAACTAAGTTTTATAAATGGAAACAAATATTAGAAAACTAACATTAAGTTCTATCTTTTTACAGTTAAATATATATATACATAGAGAGTGCCTTCTCATTTCTAAAACAGCTTGCAAACACATCTCATAGTTTATGGAATTGTATCCAGTATAAATACAAGGTTAAGAAAATCTAAAATATAATTAATTTCTTCATTAAAATGTTACTGTATGTTCAATAGTTAACATAATCTAAATGAGAAAAATACCTGCTTTATATAAACCCCACTTCTGGAAAATAGATCAACCAACTCGGGATGATGTTTGCTATTCTGGCTTCCATGACCCAGAGTGAAATTTGTATTATCTCCCCAAGTGTAGACATCTGTAGGATCTAAAATGAAAATCAGTTTTTATTATTCTTTTGTTTTAAAACAAATTTTTAATTTAAAGCAAAAATTTTAAATTGATATTTTAGTAAATATCAATTTAGTGCCAATATAGACATAATCTACTAATCATTTTACCTAAAATGACTTCTTACAGGAATTTATCATTATTTTCAAAGATGCTGCCAACAGCCTCTAAAATCATGAACCTATTAATATTTAATTCTAGGAATAGCAGTCAGAAAATCCAAGTCAGCACAGGTGTGTGTCTCAATGTAAGCAAACTTACATTTTGTCATTTGTTTCTTGAGAGTTCAAGTTTAACAGTCAAATAAGTAAAACATTACCTGTTATATCCACTTAGATTGCATGAAAATAATATAACTATTTACTGTTAAGTAAGTAAAATACCACCTGTCATAGCCACTTAAGTTTCCATGAAAATAACATAGCTACTTTAAATGTAAAATGTTATTAATACAGGAATAGAAAAGGCCCTAATGATATAGATGTGTTTCTCAACAGAAACACTGTTTACAATTGTTTGTTCTTGATAGACATAAAAATCATACCATGGATCAGATTAGTAACAATGTAAAGGGGATGAAACTTAATCACAGCTAAATTATGAAAATCTTCGTATTTACTTTGGAAGCTCTGAAATTATAATTGTAACCTAATTAAGTGTACAAGGTAGAAATAAAAATGATGGTTGTGTCCTTAATTCACTTATTACATGCAAATTAGAATGAACCATTAAGTCTCCTTTTCTTCCAATTCCCACTTCCAAAGTTTATAGACAAATTGGAGTGGTAAGTTATTTTAGAAGGATTTGTGGGTAGAAGAAACACAAGTAAAAATGCTTTCCCACTTTAGTCTGTGTTTTCACTGTTATAAAAGAGACTGACACTGGACTGTGATGGTACACGGGTAAACTGGTGGTGGGAAGCCCTTGGGGATTACAACTGAGATGGAAAAATGCACAAAATGAAGAATGATGTAAAAAAATAAATAAATAAATACATAATAAAAAATTTTAATAAGAGACTGAAATTGAAAAATGCAAAATAAATAAAAATATCCTAATAGAAAACGAAAATATGAACCAACTTATGCCAAAGTAAAAATTCTCTCCACATTATCTATACACAAATTGATTTTCCAAGCTTTACCTAATCGTATTTGTATTTGTAGAATTTTCTTACCAGTAGTTTTGAAAACTACATGGATTGGTCTATCCTTCATTACAAGATCCAAAGCTGACAAGCCTTCTTTATCTTGAGTATACAGACTAACGCCATGCTAAAAAAAAAAAAAAAAAAAAGTATCATGTATTTTAACTAGTTGTAAAGCTCACATGATCAAGTCCATAAATCCATTTAAAAATTCCAGTGCTCAATTTTTTTCTCATACACATAGACAAGAACAGTTAATAGAAATCAAATATGCAATACACATTGGAATAAGGAAGGGCCAGAACACATGAAGAAATAAAGTGAACTAACTGTACATGAAAGCTATCCACAATCAGGAAGGTATGGTGACTAGAAAACCCTAGATCTGGATCTGTGCCTGTTATACACATACACACACACACTTTTTTTCCTATTTAAAGAGTCACACCTGATATATCCAGGTAAGAAATACAAAGATTTCGGGCCCCCCATGGTGGTGCAGCGACTTAAAGTGCAGCAATGCAAGCTGGTCACAGCCACTTCAGTTCAAGTTCGACCCCACCCAAGAGGTGATCCTGTCTTGCCTACTACTCTCCTGAGTAGTGTACTTCATCAATCTCCCTGTTCTGCTCCCCACTCTGTCTCTGGTGAATCCTCTTACCATCTCTGCACCTCCAATCTGTACCCCAGTTCTGTATGCATAAATAGATCTTTAAAAATATATATATATATATATATATATATATATATATATATATATATGATTTCAAGA